AAAAAAAAAAAAAAAAAAAAAAAAATAAAGATGATCTTGAAAATTTTGAAAAACATAAAAAAAAATTGTTACTTATATTTTATCTGTCTTAAACTCATACTTTAATACCTTTGTATTAAACAATTTTTCATTAGACATAATTAAAAAATTATTTCAGTTGTGCAAGTTACGTGAATCACCCTGTATATCAAAACAGATTCAATAGAGACTTATCATCCACGATATCTTTAATTTGTAAAAGCATTTGCATTGGTGAAGTTAAATTTTAATACATAATAATATATAGAAATCTGCATATTTTCGTATATAGAAAGAAGAAATTTTGATTATGCGTAGAATATTTTATTTCTTTGTAGAGGAAATACTAAGTTGTTCCAGAAATTTCTTCCGACTTGATGCAACCATAAAAGTTTCGGGGAGCTATCGAAGTGACGAAGAGAGATAATAAATTAAAATGGACCATACATATATCATTCAATGACATGGTATAAAACACAAAGTATTGCACGATTATTATCTACGAAATGAAAGATATTTTTGCAACAACCTGATAAACGATAATGAAATTCACAGAGCCATACCAACATCAGCTAAACGAGGTGATGTCTTGTTTATGACGTTTACTGGACAGCAAACAATCTCAATGAAACCTTCGAATCCGCATCTTCCCGAGGAGTCCAACTGTCTTGTACCTTCCTGGACCTCTTTCAATCTGGGCATACATTCGGGTAATTTCTTGCAGATGCCGGTGTCACCGCTCTCCAGTATACACTGGCTGCCTTCTATTAGGAACAAAAAAAAAATAAGAACCGACTCGGTTAATCTTGCCAAAGTAGAGTTTTAGGTTTACATTCAACTTGTTTCTTTTTTTTTTCTTTTTTGCAAACACAAGTTGATACTCCCGTGATGATCAATGCAAAGTTATTCGTAGAAAGAACTCGAGTTTTCAACAGACAAGCATGACGTCACAAAACACACAAAAGACCTCCAAGTGCAAGTGCCTGCCAGCGGCTCACAAAATGATTCCACCGCGTGTTGGAGTGAAATATTTTCAAGAGAAGCAAACACTAACTTGAAGTTGCACGTTTGTGATAAACATATTGTAACTCTTATGCACGTTTTCTAATTGCTTTCAAACTTTGCCACGATCTTAATTTAGTTTACTTTTAGTTTTAGCTCAATCAGAACTGTGCCAACGATGAAATTTGAAAACGCATGGTGTAACGAGCGTAATATTTTCACAAACAGATGCCGTCGCAAGTGCTGTAAGCAAACATATTGACCGTAGGTAAACTTGTTTCGTTTGCATCGTGGAATACGGAATTCGCGAGGATCAGTTTCCTCCGTGTTCGTAACATGATGACACACCGATATACCTCGGGACGAAGAGGCAAATGGCAGTCGGTTATTATAATTCCGGCGAATTTAATTACGACAAAAACAGATCCAGACAAAAATCCAAAGAAACCTTTCCTTTCTCCCAGAAGACTCAAACAAGGAGCGGAGGAAAACGTAACTCTACCGACCTTCTACTGATATTTTTCAAGCAGAGTTTTTTTAAATTTTTAAATCAATTTTAAACAGACACAGACACTCATTTTGCTCGTATTTACCGTAGAGTTGTTCCTCGATCGCGGATGCCAAGACGACGAGAAATAAAACGAACGCGACGCTGCACATCTTTATAGTCAACAAGCAGGAACGAAACAAACGGTGCTGATAAACCAATCCGCGTGGCATGCAGTTCAAGACTAAACTGATGGTCAAGTAAACTTGTGTGATGCCATGAATCAGATAGAAGGGAAAGACTCGTAGAGAGATTCTCGCTCGATCTTCCTGGTAGAGAAGAGAGGAACGAAGAAAAAAACAACAAAACCGGCGAATCAATGATGAACAATAATGCGTCAATAATACGGCGATTAACATATGAAATGTCCTTATGTCACGAACCGGATTCGAACAATGGAATTAAATGTACGCGCGTTGTTTCGCGATTCCTGTGAATTTTCGTTCTTCGTCAAAATTCGATGATTCTTTGACTCTCTGTTGTAACAATGCCGTAGCAGAAAGAAGTCGTCAGTTATCTCGATAACGACAGATTTTTAACGATCTTCCGGATCAGAGATTTATTCGTTAAAAAATTACATGTTCGTGACAATAGCACATCGAGATCGAGATTGATGCTTGTTTAAGAAAACAAGCCGACAATCTACTAGTTGATATTAAGTTAATAACGATTCTTGACGTACTATTAATTACGATAATTGGAGTGCAGTTAACGTTCGATTATGCAACTGGTTGATCTTAGCTGGGATAAAAATTCTTACATAATTGCCATTAGTGATCAATGAAAATTATTGGACGCTTATAATGGATCTTGGTGCAGCTGTCAGACCGTCGGAATATTGTTTCAAAGATTGTTTGAAAGAATTGACGCTTTTTTCTGCGACATTGATCCAAGCTACCTGATACTTAACGCTAGAACTTGATCAAAATGGTCGAAATGACCAGTTTATAATTTAAAAAGTTTAGTGATTTGTAACTTTTTACTATTCATTTTGCACTCTAACTTTCTTCGATACAATCTTTATGCTTTAGTCGTCGGTAGTTCTAGCGTTAAAATCGAGAAATCTCGCCCGAATCACAAGTCAAAAGATACATTCATTCAATGAAGTTTCGTCTTTCAACGACTGGCATGAAAAGAAGAAAAGAATGCGTATGAAATACAAAGTTGGGTCGTCGAAGGATGACTCTGAACGATAAGCATTTATTTCCGTAACAAAAGCTTGCACGCGATAAATAATTTTGAAGTTTCGCTGCCTGTTGTCCGGATTTTAACGTTTCCCATTTTTTCTTTTTAAATCGTCAATAATACTTAGAAATCACTCCAACGAGTCGCGTATATCTAGTTTGTTTCGCATTCGATCGTCTAGATTTCGTTTCCCGGTACGCTTATTCATATCTCAATTACATCGACCAGGAAACTGTGCAACAATTGTACGGTTATTTACTCGCGGTGATTTCCCTATAAAAATAGAACTTAAGGGTGTCGTACGCGTGTACGACATTGGCCCGAATACTTTCTTCGAAATACGTGCACTCGCGTAAAAATAACCGTAGTTTTCCCTGAGACACATCGAAAATCACGATTTGCACGCGTGTACTACAGATTGAAATTGCTAGTTGATGTCGAACAAAGTTGCTACTTATTCGCAAAAAATGATTTATTACTTGTAGAGTGACTTGATGTTTCCAACATTTTTCAATGACTAACGAAAAAAAAAAAAAGAAAAAGAAAAAAAATTGATATTATAATGATATACGGGAGGTGATTTTCTGCGTTCGTCCCCAGTGATTCCCCGATCGCGTTGCGATATGTATATGCACGTTGCGCTTGCCTGAAGAGAAAAGATGCGTTCCGAAAACGTGCAATTTTTAGTCCGAAAGGCGAAAGAGGAAAAACGACCGTGGAAAAGGTGAGGAAAAAGAAAAAAAAAAAAAAGAAGACAGAAAAGAAGGGAAAAAGAGACAAGTCCGGAAGGCCTTAGAGGATAGAACCACTCGGTGAGAGGAAGACGGAGCGAGAAAGAGAGCGGTTTTACACGCGTTCGCAGCGTTCAGTCTGCTTGCAGCGTTCGTGCTAGACGTCGTGTCCCGGTTAGCTTATCTTCCAGCTTTTATTATTCCATTTTCTCATCTATGACCCCGTTGTTGCCACCTTAAACGAGAATGAACGACACGAGACACGCGGAACGCGACCTCCGACACACGATTTTTCTCCGTGAAGAACACGAACACGAACGCGTTAACTCGCGGAGCGCGTGATCGTCCAAATCGCGCGACACACTGTGACAACTACATAGGTAAGAGAACTTGGTTAGCTTTGTTTTCTAACGATTTAATCCACTGTTCTGTCGTTATAATGCTCCCTGTTTAGTTAAAAATGTTCTACCTGACAAATCATTTCGAAAGAGGATGGAGGAAATTTTCTTTGTATCGTGAGTGTTTTCTTTATTCGATTTGGAACATACAGTCAGTATGTGCAACACGCACAATATTTGGAATTCCAAATATTTCGATATATATACCTGTTTGAAAGTCTAAAAAAGATAGTTTCTTACTATTAAGTTTAATATTATAAAGTTTAATACTAATACTTTTCTAATATAAACAAAAGATTAACATTAATATACTGCAGTGGGAGTGTAAAATGTCTTGGAAAAATGAAAAAGTGCTGGATGGAACATTTTGAGTTAAGAAAAAGACATTAATTCCAATATCTATCAAACTGAGTAATTCGTTGTGTAAAAAATATTTAGTGTGGTGAATGATGTTATGTTATTTGGAAAACGTGAATCTTTCTGCACGAAATAAAATTTAATCGAAATAAATTAAGTTGCTCGAAGTTCAATTATTTCACTTTTGCTCTTAATATTCCATCGAGGATGAATCAGTTTCGAAAAAAATGTGTTGTTTTAAATCCCTCGGATCGAATAATCGACGCTAGTGAAAACCTCGTCCGATTAATTCGCCGAAATAGAATTCGATGGCCTAACGATGTAGAAATACCGTTCTGATTATTTAAAAACCATTTGTTTCAGCGACTGTTTCCTGTCCAGAAAAAGATCTCGAGAAACACGGCGATCTTCGCGCGCGCGAAATCGTAGAAATTTTTAATGTTCTTAGACATAATTGGATCTTTCTTGATATCACGGTCAAACATTCTATATACTGGTCTTGACTTCGCGCCTTGTTCATTTTACAAATGTAATTGCAACATTGTACGTGATGCTAATTAAAGTACGATTTGTTCGAATTTTCCAATAAATATAACCGATTTTGTCAATTCGTGAGGTTTAGGTTAGGTTAGGTTAAGTTCAAAAGTTTAGGTTTAGGTTTAGGTTTAGATTTAGATTTAGGTTTAGGTTTAGGTTTAGGTTTAGGTTTAGGTTTAGGTTTAGGTTTAGGTTTAGATTTAGGTTTAGAAAAAGGTTCACATCCAACTCGCCCGTTAATCTTTTCTACTAGTAACTGGTTCACGGACCATAACGAGTGACCAAGCCAAATATACGATAATTCGTCTTCTTTTTGAATTTATCAATATTATCACTGGATAGAAATTACTACGAAGTAATAAATTTATTATTTGCTTCGCCTGGGTTATATTTCAATATATTTAAACCTGAGAAAACATTGGGCCATATATATTCTCGACGTGCGTGGCACGTCGTTCCCAGCGCAAGAGGTTAAAATTTTCGGCAAATAACCATCAACGTTTCGTTAAATTAGCCGACCTAAAACCTCTATCAGCACGTGATAGATATTTCTGACCGTGCAATTAAGATTCCGTACATATATTTTGCCGCCCGTTGCGAATCGTCGAACTCGTAACAGTGCGTAAACAGCATAAATTAACAGCTTGCAAAACAGACCAATAAATTCTCATTACTCTATTATCCGTGCAACATTCCAATTAAAATACTCTATTTTTCTTCCTGTAAGCGATTAAAATCTCGTATCGGAGCGACGAGCGGGAAAAAAATGTCTCGCTCGGAATATTTTCGCCCGGTGGTGTAAGTCGCAGCGAGTTACATGCACGCGTCTTAATGAGCTGACGCGTAGAAGTTCGGAGAGCATGTGTTGGATGTTTAATATACGCTTGTCCATCCAGCAAGGCAAGGACAAGCCAATTTATTGCCTCAATGATATGATCGCCGCGCTAAATTGGGTAAATCGGTAATAGTTCTAATTAACGGGCTACAGATCTAATGTATGCAAAACTGTTTGTACGTATTTTCCGGAGAAGGAGAAGGAGAAGGAGAAGGAGGAAAACGTCGAGCCGCAGACCGTTTCCATCCTGGTTAATTAAAACGTTCTGGTTCATTTGACGCGCCGCGGGTCGCTATACTCTTTACTCGTTGGCATTGATACGTTCGGCACGCCGTTACGTAATATAATCCTCTTAACGTCGAGCTGTTAACTGTGTTACGACTTTCCGCGGGACTTTCGCGAACTTGCCCTCGCTGGAAATCGAACATTCGCATTCTCGTGTTCCGATTCTTTTTTTTTTTTTTTTTTTTTTTTTCTCGATTACAACGATCCTAGATCCTAGAACAGCGACGGCGAACCTTTTTGAGAAGTAGGTCAAATTTTGTTCATTATTTTTTTTTAGTATTAGCTCGTGGGTCACTAAGTCAGTGGCGTCACTTGGAAAAAGGCAGGAGAGGATGGTTAAAAACTATTTTTCTTTGGTTCTCACTTTTATAATCCTCTAGAAAGTTTACGTTTCCTTTTTGTTTTGCAACTTTTACTTTTGCAAGTGAAGAGCAAAAAAATAAATGTCGATGTGAAAAAATTGATATAAAAGGGGCGACATCATGCCCAGTCACCCCTGCACTATACATTAGATATATATACTTTATTTCTTAATATTTTTTATTGTCTGTTCTCTATTTATTATAATAAAAAAAAACCTAGCAAAGCTACCCATTCTGAGAATGGGATCTAGTGTGTTTTTTTAGTGTTTATTACATCTGTTTAATCGTAAGCGCTATATAAAATTTTTTGGACACAAGTAACTCACCTAACATTTAAGACTTGAAATACCTATATGTATACATAACCAAGTCGTAAATCCTCCACAAAACACAATTATGCATTTATTTCTCACTTTTAAGCTCTAACCGAACACTTGTAATTTTCTTAACATTTTTTGAAAAGAGAGGTTCGAAAAATAATTAAAATTCTTTTATATATATGATGACAAGTTTATAAAAATCAACGCGTGGATCATTTGAAAAGCCTGCGTGGGTCAGTGTCTGACCCGCGGGTCATAGGTTCGCCATCATTGTCCTAGAAGGAATTATTGTAAACTATACATGGTGTCCCAGTGTCGATAGTACATACACGTGAAGTGGAGGTGATTCTACGTGAAAAAAATAAGTCGAAAATAAGGAATAAAATTAACATCATTCCTAATGTCGATTGGTTATTAATACGAGTTTAGAAATGAAAAATAAGATACTTCTGTAATTTCAAAACTTAGGTTGTTAACCTCTTGCGCTGAAAGAGCACGCACGTCGAGAATATTTGGCCCAAAATTGCAATGTTTTCTCAGTTTTAAGTATATTGAAATATAACCCAGGCGAAATAAATAATAAATTTATTAATTCTTGGTAATTTCGATCCAGCGATGTACCGATGAATTTCAACTGGACGAATTATTACATACGGTTTGGTCGCTCGTTATGGTCCGCGAACCAGTTACTAGCGCAAGTGATTAACGTAGAAATTTGTTAAAAACGCTGTATGCATAACCGTTGTTCCGTTTTTAATTCTACGAACGCCAAAATGATTTTCTTTTAACTACGTCGGTCTTTCGGCGTAAACTTTTGATTTTGTGCGGCCGTATAAATAAAAATCAAGAGGCGTTGAAGAGCGCGCTCGAAGAATGATCAAAGCTGATTATCTCGAGAACGAAGCTCCGAACGAAAAAAGCTTCGCTCTTTATTTTCGAATTTTACTTATTATTTGTTTCATTATTATTTTTTCACGTAGAATCACCATCCGCCATCCAATGTTAATCACACGCAAGCACAACACTACAGAATTACGTATAATTCGATCAGGTGACGCAGCCGAGTATGAAAAATTGTCAGACGGGCGATCGTAAGGAACGATCGGAGCGGCGAGACGCGGACAATGCAGATCAGAGACAAATCACGTACTTGAAGGCGACCGACTATCCGACCATGTCGGACAACACCGATCTGTCAAAGATCCCGAAACGAAAGTTGTCCGTGTTCTATCGATCGTTCGACGTGATCACGCAGATCGACCAGGAGAATGAGAGGCAAAACGCTGCGGACTTTCGAAGAACGTTCAGCAGCCCGTCCGTGCGGATCGAGAGGGCTCGAGAGGACGTCGATTCGAGGAACGATCGGCAAACAAACGATCGACGAACAAACGTGGAACAGAGGAGAGATCGTCCGTCGATCTTGAGCGGCTCTCCGCCTAGTGATCGACTCGCAATCGGTGGAAAGTCGAGCGACAACCAAGTTTCCAACGCCGACTCACTGTCGTCAATGGCATTCAAGTTGCCTCAAGTTCGAGAGGGCACGATCGTCGACAATTACGCCGCGATTACCGAGTCGTCGAACGATAATGAGAGCCACGAGGTAAGCTGAATCTCGATGAAAATTATCGAGGGAAATTCGTAACGAAAGCAATCTTTATCTGAACTCCTCAGTCGTTCAGATTTTTGTTTTCGAAGACGTTTAACGTTTCTTGGAACTTTTTTAAACGAACTTTATTTAAAAAAGAACAAGTAGAAAGTATGAAAAAATTTAAATAAGGATCGTGTCTGCTACGGATGGGTAATCGTCGATTAACTCTTAATGGTCCCTGCTGGTATTTGTCCCATCTGAAAGACTATTTCAACGACTTTGTGTTTTCGCGGCAAACGAAATACTCTTTGATACGAGTCGCGGGGAAGGAATTAACTTCGTAGAAACTCAAGCTGGATCTCTATACTGCATTGAAAATATTTGCCTTGGGAATATCCGTGACGCGATGAAAAACGAATTTCAGACGATATTTCCTTCGCGGAGATGGAACTTCCACTTGTGCTTGGCGGCGACGCTAATGAAAATTGATCCAGCGTAACTGTTTTATTTAGTAATAACCTAAACATTTGCTGGTAGATCTAAATCTAAGTCGTCTAGAGCGTCTCTCTCAAGAACAACTGGCTTGTAATTAATCGTACAAAATTTCATCGCTCGCCGAAAATTAGGCGAGAAGAGAAATGAAAACCTTGGCCCGATTTCCAGCCAGTCATCCTGAATACCGCGGAAGAAGAACTGTAAGCGTTGTAGCATGTATTGCGTTGACACTCTCGGTTTGTTGGACAGCTAAACCGAGTCTAGTCTAAAGTTAGAACCGCTGGACCGTTAAGAGTTAAAAATAATCATCCTGTAATGATCCCAGGTCGCCGATGAAAGTGTCGCGATCGATACGCGCCGTAACAGCTCGTCGCCCGACTTGTTGGCCGGCTCGATTGTTGGATCGTTCGCCGAGAAAAAAGCTGGAGGCATAACCGAAACGACCGAGCTCCGACGTGGAAATTCACCGCATACGCGTTCGATTTGTTCGCGATTCGACGCTGCACGCACCGGTAAATCTGTTGAGTCTTAAGTCTCGAAAAGAAAAGAAAAAAGTAAAAAGAAAAAAAAAAAAGAAACTAAAAATATAATAAAGTGTATATTGTTCTATTCCTCTCTGATTCTCGCAGATCTGGTTAAGATCAAAGATTCGGTGTACCCCCGCTCGTTTGTGAACGCGTCGAGTGCCGGTCGCCTCGGGAAATACACATCAGTCGATGGTGAAATGTCGAGTCACGAGGATAGCTCGATCGGTTCCGATAGCGAGGACGATCCGATCGAGCGGCACGCCGCGACGTGTACGCGGATCGAGAGGTCACGATCGAAGAACGACAGCCCGCTGTCGCGGCCCTCGTCTTTCTCAATGGACGAATCCTCCAGGAAGCCGGATTCGAGGGAGATCCACGATCGAGATGTGACGGAGGGATTCTGTTCGGAACGAACGGAGAGACAAGTTGGTAATCCTTTTAAAATGTCTTTATTCTTTTTTTGCTATGATAACATATGCACCGTGTATATCTTACTTTAGTATATATACATAATTTTTCTCTACTTATTTCGGTTATTTTACTTATTTACAATTTTACTTTGCTTTAGTTGTTATAAATATATAATTTTATAATTTTACTTATTTTGGTTATTATAAGTTTTATAACTTATTATTACTTATCTCAGTTTTTTTATTTTATTATTTTATTTAGTTTAGTTTATTTCAGTTTAGTTATCTCAGTTTAGTTTATGTTAGTTTACTTGTTTTAGTTATTAAAAATTTTATAATTTTACTTATTTTAGTTATTATAAATTTTGTAATTTATTATTACTTATTTTAGTTTACTTAGTTTGCTTTATTTTATTCTAGTTATTTATTTTATTATTTTATTTAGTTCACTTTATTTCAGTTCACTTAGTTCAGTTCGGTTTATGTTAGTTTACTTGTTTTAGTTATTAAAAATTTTATAATTTTACTTATTTTAGTTATTATAAATTTTATAATTTATTATTACTTATTTTAGTTTACTTAGTTTGCTTTATTTTATTCTAGTTTTTTTATTTATTTTATTATTTTATTTAGTTTACTTTATTTCAGTTTACTTAGTTTAGTTTAGTTTATTTTAGTTATTAAAAATATTATAATTTTACTTATTTTAGTTTACTTAGTTTACTTTATTTTATTTTAGTTTTTTTATTTATTTTATTAGTTTATTTTATTTTATTTTTTATTTATTTATTTAGTTTAATTTAGTTTAATTAGTTTATTTAGTTTATTTTAGTTTAATTTACTTATTTTAGTTATTAAAAATTTTATAATTTTACTTATTTTAGTTATTATAAATTTTATAATTTATTATTTATTATTTATTAGTTTACTTAGTTTACTAATTTATTATTTATTAGTTAATTTACTTAGTTTACTTTATTTTATTTTAGTTTTTTTATTTTATTAGTTTATTTTATTTTATTTTATTTTTTATTTATTTATTTAGTTTATTTTATTTCAGTTTATTTAGTTTAATTAGTTTATTTTAGTTTAATTTACTTATTTTAGTTATTATAAACATATATGTTATTTAATTTACATCGTATCTCTTCATAACTGTATTTACGATCTGTTTACTTTATAATTGGCGATCACAATTCTACAACTGAAACGAAATTTCTTCGAATTTTTCCGTAAATAAGAAGTCGCCTTGAGAGTTTGGATGCGTGCGAACACACGCTCACACTTACGTCCACGCAAGAAACTTTATTCTTAGTTATTGACATGTCTCTCGAAACGTATTAAACACAGTTTTTAGCTATTTCTAACCGTCAGAACGATTCCGGTCTTGGAATATACAATTTAATCTACGAACGGGAGAAAGGAAGAAACATTGATGAACTTCGCGACGGAGACCTTCGACATTCGAAATATTATGCACGCACGTACCTTGAATCGGAACTGTACCACATGGTCGCGATTACATCTGGTGAGATCTATTCCGTTCCGATAGGAAAAATAATATTTTCTCTGGAAGCAAAAGGCGTCAGGCGCGCGCGCGCGCGCGCGCGTGTATGTGTGTGTGTGCAACACAGTTCAGGGAAAATTCGAAATAAAGCGTAAGCGTGAAATTCTTCTTTCGTTCTCGAATCACGTAACGGGGTATTTATAGAGAGAAACGGTGAAAAACTCGACGTCTGTTTAAGAAACGAAATGATATTTTTTCAAAGCAAATGCGTATATATGTATATATGTATCGTTTGATAACTGGCAGAAATGTTTCGCCGCGAGGAGATCCTTGTCGGAAGGCGACTGCGAGCGATATCATCGCGCGAAACGTCGTTGCAGATGCGTCAGAGGGGAGGAAGAAACTTCCGAAGACGAAGAACGAAAGGAGAAATTCCCAGTTTTTCCTAGCTTCAGCGACACTAGGCTGCAGAGCATGGGACTGTCGTGCTCCAAGGACATAGACAGCGTGTACAGGTAGCATTCTTCTTCTTTCTTTTTTTTTCCTTCTTTTTTAATTTACCAATAATGGCCAATAGTACCAATTTAGACTGTTCCTTTCTCTCTGTTGCTTGTTACAGGGAAAATCTATCGGAGAACGAGCTCGAGGTTACAACATCCCTATATTTCACAATGTTTATAAATTGATTCTCGAGCCTATATAAATGTCTGTCTCTTTTATGTCCTTAATTTCAGCGCAAGTATATCGCGTTCTCGATAGGACTTGGCACGGATAGGATCACTCTACGCCAGAGGATGATATTGTCACTTCGTCAACGGGATCAGTCGGAACGAAATTTCATGGAAGAAATTCAAAAGATGCAAGAGGATATAAAGGTATTGTGTCATTGTCAAGCGTGTCTCTTTTTTTTTTTTTTTTTTTTAAGTAGACATNTTAAAACTGAGAAAATATTGCAATTTTGGAACGAAAAACTCTCGACGTGCGTGGCACGTCATTCCAGCGCAAGAGGTTAACCACTTGCGCTGGCAACTGATTGCAAACCATAACGAGAGACCAAACCGTACACAATAATTTGTCGCTTTCTTTTCGAACTCGTCGGTATGATATTACTGGATAGAAATTATTGAAAAGTAATTTAATAAATTTATTATTTGTTTCGCCTATTTAGTTTCACTTAAAATATACTTAAAACTGAGAAAATATTGCAATTTTGGAACGAAAAACTCTCGACGTGCGTGGCACGTCATTCCAGCGCAAGAGGTTAACTACTTGCGCTGGCAATTGATTGCGGACCATAACGAGTGACCAAACCGTATGCAATAATTCGTCATTTTCTTTTCGAACTCATCGGTATAATATCACTGGATAGAAATTCTTAAGAAGTAATAAATTTATTATTTGTTTCGCCTATTTTGTTTCACTTAAAATATACTTAAAACTGAGAAAATATTGCAATTTTGGAACGAAAAACTCTCGACGTGCGTGGCACGTCATTCCAGCGCAAGAGGTTAAAAACACTGAGGAGAAATACATCAGTATTTTACGTTTATATTTATATAAATATAAATATATTTCTATATATATATTATACATTTATATAAACATTTCGCACTATTCTGCATTTGCAAAAGAATTTGATACATTTCAAATTAATTATATTAATTGATATTGATATAATTATATTATTATTATATAATTATAATTATATTGGCATTAATATAATTATATTATATTACATATACATAATTATATTAATTGATATTACTTGCTGTTTCTCGTTGAATAGAGTCTGTGCCCACTTTGCATGGATCAAGAGTCGATAGATAAAGTGGAAAATATCCGTCACCGGTTGGACACGATAACACGGTCTGCGCACAGAGTTTCTTGCGCCGCTGAAACACTCGGAGCTGTATATCAAGAGCACAGAATTTCTCGAGCAATTTTTATAGGTGACAAGTATCTGCAGTTACTACGATCCAGATGTGAGAATCTGGCGGCAGATATCGCAGACATCAGGTGAATATAAAGTTTTTTGAAATTTTCCTTCCTACGTTTGTTTCATAATGAGAAATGAAATATAATCTCAATCAGTTTGTTAGAAACTGTCTACCATAGAAAAATAATGTTCATAATTAATATTTAGAAACTATCATTTTTCAGGCAGATACTGTTGAAAAACAACATCATGATAGAAGAAACCGGAGAGATGGGGGATGAGTTACCTAAACTTCGATACAGAAATGGATTGCCCTGCAACAATCGAATGGTTTGAAAATGAGAATGAACGTCGGGCAACGCTACATGCGTGAAACTGATTAATTCTCTCTCCTGATTGATTTTATTTGCAGATGACTAGAAGAAGAGCGAGCATCGCTACGATTTCACGACCGTTGAGTTCGCAAGACGTGATAAAGGCAATATTTTTGTCATATTAATTTCCGTAACTTCGCTGCTAACTAAAATAAAACTGTAGAATAAGCTGCAGCTTAATAAAAAACATTTTTACTCTTTTTTACATTCAGGAAATCCCTAGGCAACGTAACTCTGTTTCCGGCAGAGTTAATTTGAGACGGCCATCGCTATGCTTCGAAACGCAGAGGTGGGAAAACGAAAAATTAAATCGAACGGAGTTTGTACTATTTTCTTGTTTCCTTCCGTAGTAATAGAATAACTAAAATTCTAAGGGATAGGAAGAAAAATCAAGTGTAATAAGGACGTTCCCTTATTTCAGCAGTGCAAATAGTGTCGTCGAGCTGCGAGACATTTTCGAGCACACTGAGTCGAGAAGGAACTCGGTTGAAGAAAATAACAATCTTTTGAGAAACAACCAAAGTAATATCGTTGGTAATATAAACTGTGACGTTGCTAGTAATGCGAAAGACAAAGATCGACTGATTGTCAAACAGAATTCTTTTTTGGAATCAAGTGTAACTAACACTGTTGAAAAACAATTAAAATCATGGTAATTATTCACTTAATAAAAAAAAAAAAGAAAGAAAAAAAACCGCTACACAATCAAATAGAAAATAAACAAAGGAATATATTAGTTCACGCTTGATACTTAAAATTATAATGAAACGTAAAAAATTATTACAAAACATTTAATGTTTATGAAACATGTTGTTTTCAGTACACGAACAACCGAGCCTTTGCGAATAACTAGAAATATTGAAACGTGGCGACCGATTCTATGGTTTACGTTTATCTTCCTTCTCGGATTTTATGCCAAACAAATCACTTCGACATTTGTTACGTAGTGCATTAAAAGGTTTTAATAGTAAAATTTAGCATTTTTGTGTTATGGTATTGCAGTATTAAAGATATTTTATATTAGTGTAGTAATATTTACAAGGAATAATAAAAAGACGTAATTTACAAATATATCGTATTCTTTTTCTGTATATTACAAATTATCCACTGTTCCAATGCATACGAGCGAGTTATTTTTATTGTAATAACGTAAAGAGAGTATGCTCGAGCAGTAAGTTGAGAATATCTGTGGTGATTCTGTTTCAGGTACTAAGTTTGATGAATTGCTGTAAAACAATACAATCGAGATATAATTTCATAATATTAAAGATAAGTCTGTTTTCAACTTTTTACCATTAAGAATTACCTATTAACAGTTTTAATATAATCATGTGTAGGCCATAAACGAATAGTGCCATCCAAACTCCCACTGGCAATGTATTGACCATCAAAACTCCAGTCTAAATTCATAACCGTATCTTCGTGGCCTTTAAGTTCAGTCAACAATGCATTAGTTGCTAAATCCCAAATAGAAATAGACTTGTCATCGCCTAAAATAAGATGTTAATTAATGAATTACAAAATTAATAACATAGAATATGTATTCGAAAACGAAATATTAACATTAATTGTATGACCTGCAGCTGCCAAATATTTCCCATCTGGACTAAAAGCTAAACTATAAATCGTTGACTGTGCGCCGATATATACTCTTAATAAATTTCCGTCATCCTTATCCCATAATCTCACAGTCTTATCAGCAGACCCAGTTGCTAAATATCGAGCATTTGGGTGAAATTTGACACACTATAAAATAAAGTAAGTAAATTAACACAAAAATTAAATTTTCATCTTTTTTCAAAGTATACTAATTCCTAAGTATATGAAAAGGAATATTTCTCGTTTTATTTGAAATACATACATTTATATCTAAGAAGTGACCGGCAAATATGCGTAATGGAAATATCCTATCTAAAGACCATAATTTGGCAGTTCTATCATGAGAACCAGTTGCTACATATAGATTAAATACACTAAGATCCATGCACCATATAGGATAATTGTGACCACTGAAACAAATTACATTTTAATGATAACGACAATTTTATGTTATGCGTAATTAATAGAAATACGTACCTATAAATTGCGGCACATGTGTAATCATTAAGTCTCCATGCCCTCATATCTTTATCACTAGATACAGAAAGTAAAATATCCGATTCTGGAATAAACCTTAAGTCATGTACAATATCTGTATGACCTCTAAGTATCACTGCCCCTCCTTCAGTCCTTGAGATGTAAAAACACATAATTTTATATTGTTTTACTTGAATGTATATATTGAAATTTAAAGAAATTTGTAGACACTTACGTTCGATCCGACGTATCGTAAAATTTATGTAAAAATGGAATATCAGAAGCAAACGTGAAGGAAGGTTCTTCATACTTTGGCTTAATTAATACTGTTTCATTTATACCCCACAACCTTATTTCTGTTGTACTAAATCCTACTGCTAATTTGTCCATATTTGGTGGAATTACACCACTACTTGCACTATAAAGATAAATATTTTATATGACTTTTGCGGTTTTCTAATTTTCGCTACCTCGAGCAAAATTATTTTGTATATAAATAAATTCCTATGCATATAATTACTTTTCAACAGCATTATTTACTGCAAATATTCGTAGAGGTTGATGAGCATTATTTCGAATTAATCTTATAGCTTCTTGCAATTCTCTCATTTCACGATCAGCTCCAGTACCTGGTGGTTGTTCTAAATATCCATTAATCCCTACTTCAGAACGTATGCTTACTTCTTCACATCCTTCTGCGTCTGTTTCAGGCACATCCACTTTCTTAATTATTGTCACATGAGTGTTTATTATCTAAAAATAAAAAGTTGCATATTATTAATTGAAATGAATATTTATAGATAATTTTATATATATAACATTCAGTATAATATGACTTTATTACCTGCATTAATATTATGTGTCCATGTTTTGAGAGAAATTGTTGAAGACATAAGTGAGCAATATCTGACATATCCACTTTATACTTTCTAGTTCTAAATGAATTAACTAAAGGTCTTAATTCAATATCTTGCACTGAAAATACACTGGACAATTCTTCTAAAAAATCTTTCTCCGTTTCGCTGTTGAATTCATTCTGATGTGACTTTAGAAATTGAATTGCTGCTTGTTTGTTACCAGCATGTAGCATCTCTAAATACAAGTGACAAAATACGGGGTATAAAAGTCCTCTTAATTCCATTTTTAATTTATCATCGAGTACTATATTTACCCACATCTTTAACCTGAAGGAAATGTATATTTTCAAAGTAATGTCAACAAAGATTAATTTAACATTCTGAAGCTATAAAAGAAATTTAAAAAAGGAGAGACATACCGTTGATAAGCTTGATCTGCAGCTGTAACATCAATGCTAATGGCACTAAAAATGATTGAATTATCTTGGGATGTGGCACAAGCAGCAGTTGCATTGAGAGTCATTTCATCACTTGTTCGGCAATGTATTTGATTGCCTTTACAGAAAATGTCGGTAGTCTATAATTGATATTCGAAAGTAGCATGAGGTTATGTCATATTTCTTAGTAGGTAATTCAACATTAAATAAAATTTATGAAATAAAAATAAGAACATAACATGCCTGATAATGACGTCGTTTTAAATATGATTCAATTGTAGCATTAATTAACTCGCTCTTTAAACGTTTCATCTTTTTGAAATTATACGTTGGTTACATTCAAAAGTTTTAAACGATCCAACCATAAAAAAAGATGTCAAATAACAAAAATCATTGAAAGTACGTAGATTTAACAATTATTCAAAAAATCAAACAAATGCAATAACATTCATATTTTATCAAGAATTAACAGAACAGACATCGGACAACCGCTATTATTACGTTATATTTTCATTAATGAAGTATATCGAAATTCGAATAAACATTCAACTGATAATGTTCGGCATAATGTTTTCATTACTAATTTTTTCAAACTTTCATGTTTTATTCAATCTTATTTGTAACATATAGATCTATAAACAAATAGTTGCCGCCCGTCAGTCATTCTGAAAATACATAGTCAAAAACATCTTTCCCCTAGAAAATTCTTCATGCTTGAATTACTAGAGCACGTGTTTCTAATTTGTGTATAAATTATGAAATTATTAAATCTTCCATTAGTATTTAATATCGAGCATCACTATATCTGTGTGTACGCAAATTCAAATATCTTATTAATAAATTTAAACATAAAACTTTCGAAATGTTAAATAGCAATTAATACTGTATAGAGACATTTAACATTTTAATTTTAGCTAGGGATTAGGGATAATTTCAACTTGCAACTCAAAATAAATACGTCTTAAATATAATTCAAATATTTATTTATAAAAATCTAGTTTTGCATAATGTAAATGCTGTTTCAGATCTTCTTCGCTTTTAAATGGTACAATAATATTTGAGTTTAATGTTGACCTAAAACATATGTAATTGTATTATAATATCTGAATTGATACGCAAAAAGTATATTTATATTTGCAGCAATATTTTTTAGTTATTCGCAATATCTATTATTTTACTTTTTTATGATAATATTAACTTTGTATTATTTAAATTTTAAAAAAACTTACAAATCAGAACACAGCAAATTTAAATTCTGAGGTATAAAGTACCGCATATGAGGAGACAAATCAACAAATGGATCACTATCATTTTCAAAATTGTCAAATTCTTTTAATCTGCAAAATATAGTCTTATAATCAGAAAAGTAGTACTAATACTTTGATTTAAAAAAAAAAAAAAATAGCAACTATAAAATTTGTACTAACCGTACAATAAAATGCTTAGGTTTATGTAACACTGATTGTTCATTATTACGTTTAGATAAATTAAATATTGTAGGAAATACTGCATCACGAAAATCGCCAATTTTTACAAAACTATATTGCTCTGAATTTTTAAGAAAAGAATTTTTATTTAATCTTTGTGTAATTAACGAACGCATTATTGGAGTATCTATCCAAACAACACGACATTCTTTATAGAGCATTTCTGCAAACCAATCAAAAGCACCAATCTCAGCCACATAATTCCACTCTTTTCCATCATACCAATCATGTACCTGTAAATTGTAAAAAGTATTACAGTTATTGATATTGCATTCTGAAAGAGAAAAACATATTAGTAGTACATTACTAATCTTTTTAGTTTTTTTAAATTATTATCATTATATTTTTATTTTTAATAATTTACATTATTCTAAACAACTTACAACACAAATTTGGTTAAGTAATCCACGAAAATCTGCCATCAATGCCATAAACGATTCAGAACCTTTAGGATATAGCAATACAATATCTGTGTTTGTAATATTATCGTCTTTACATTTTACTTTTTTCTGGTAGTCTATCGAGGTATATATCTTTGATTTCATACATTTAGTTTCATTAGTTTTAAGAATGTTTCTATTCAAACTATTTGTATAAAAACTTTTCTTTCGTATATTACAAAAATGTATGATGTAAATGAAATACATAGTAATTGTAAATACAGTTAATGCAATAATAGTGATTGGTAGATACAAATGAGAAACTGTATCATAATTAATATTAGTTTGTATACCAAGATTGTAAATAGTAATATTTTTACAGCCTGTAAACAAAACAACCATTATTTTTTATCATATATATAATATGATAATATCAATTTACTTACTTTGGTACCAAAGACATGTATCATTGGGCTTCCATAATGTGTTATTTATACATCTTATATCATGATATGGAAATATTGAAATACAATAATTTGCCTTTTGTGAAATTTCAGTTTGAAATGTCAAATTTCTTTTATATATTTCATTCATTAGCTAATAATTAAATATAATAAATTTTAGTTACATAAAAATATGTTTGAACATAATTGAGATATATTAAATATTGGACTTACCAAAGTTGTATTAAAATCATGATTTTTATTTCCTAAATATTCATCCTAAAAATCACATATGAATTTTACAAAAATGTAATTTATATAAATTTAATGTATAAACAAGATATATGAAATATTATCTCTTTTTCTCTTAATATAGTACAGTATTAAAATTTTTACCAAAACATCAAAACTCCAGACATCATTTGAAAATTCTTCATTATTAAAAGAACACCTTTCATTCCCAGACGAATCATACCAAAGTCTGCCCAATTTTATTACTCCAGCTGTAACCATAGGTTTATGAAGGTGTACCTCAAGATGTCCCGTTTTTCTACCATAAAATTTAAATAAAATTCTAGTTTAAGTAACACAAAGAATATTAAATAATTCTTATTTTCTTATTAAATATTCTACAAACAGTCTATAAATCATAATGTAAACTTACTTCTCTATGTTATCGGGAAAAGTATTGTAGTCATATGTACATTCTAATGTTGGTTTCATGATTGCTGTTTGTATGTATTTAGTTTTTATGAATTTATTATGCTTTATCATTGTTGCATCTTTACCAAAAAAAAATTGTACAGAATAACATGCTGTAAATATATATGGAACGAAAATTCTAGTAGTATTCTAAAAACAAATAAGAGATGTTAAATCTTGTAAAAATTAATTAATTTTACAAAAAATTAAAACTCAAATTTATTACCTGATATTGTTCCTCATCTGGAACAAAACATATGGCACTTTTAGTATGTGTTTCAGTTCCACGAAAATTGTGAAATTTATAATTCATACATCTTGTTTCACTAACTGATGGATTTGCTAATAAAGTCAATACATATTTACATCTATTTTTTGGCGGTTGCAGATTAATTTGTAAAATAGCTGTGAAATATTAAAAATATTATTTTTTAAATTTTATAATATGACAAACGAATTTTATTAAAATTTAATTTACTATTATTCTTTATAGTATATAGTATATATGTATATTGTTATTTACCAAGAGATTCGGAAGCATTTTGATCTTCTATTATTGAAAAGTTAACATTAGTGAATATATCTTCATTTGCACAATATTTCATATAAATATATTTCGAATTATTTGTCGGTCTTTTGCAGCCATCGCTATTACAGATATACTGTAAACAAAAAAATTTTGAATAAAATATGACAAAAAGCTCTTAATTTTTATAAGTTATAACGTTAATAAATGAATGATGAATGTATAGCGATAAAGATAAGTATAAAATAATACATTTAAATATTTACTGATTTTATTTCTAAATCCGATACTTACATTACATCCAAAAGATGAACATGTAAAAACCGTCAAAAACGCAGTTATCGTATAACCTTTAAGCATAACTGAATTTCCACAAGCGGAGTATTGTATTAAAAAATTATATAGCTTTGCTTTATAATTAAATATCCAAATCTGCGAATTTTTTGTCTGTTTAGAAATATCATTGCGACCTCATGATCACAATTTGTGATTGTTATTGCTATATTTCCTTTAATACGCACTTTTTAGTGCAACATATTTTATGTCACATTGATGATGTGCGACAGAAAAATGTAGCAGCGATATAATCTATAAAAAACAAAGTTGCTTGTTGTATATACATGTGCATGCTATACAAGTGTTTCTTTGAATTATGTATGTCGCAATTGTGGCAAGTTAAATTTCAAATTTAGAAAAAAGATAGTGTTGGATTCCGTGTAATGGAGTCAACACGCTTATAATTTAGAAGAGTTTATTCCCTTACAGTCGTGGTCGTGTATGAAATAGAATGATATAGAATGATTTACAATGATTTAGAAGGCCTTAGAATATGATGAATGTCTAATGCTTTTGAATATGATGTAGAATGATTTAGAATGTTTAATGCTGTCGAATGTCTCTAAAGCATGTCTTTATTATATATTTGGTTATCATCGTCAAGTGGAAGGAAAAGGAGCATAGATAATTAACTATTGGATCTTACCCTTATGACTAACTATTTACAGTCCACTTTTATGTGAACAGTTGCTAGCTCATTATCAGTATTTGCATAGATTCAATATTGTCCGGGTTAGTCATCCAACAATAGAAAGAAACTCTAGACGAAAAAATTAAATGATATATTAATACTGTTTATTTTTCTATGATATTACTTTTTTATGTAGCAGTGCAAAATATATTTTTTTTTTTTATTCTTTGCATAGATCGGATCATCTCTGCATTCTATGTAAAATCGATGGTCGAAAAATTCTTACATAAAATTATATTAGAAAAAGTTTTAAAACAAATGTATTTGTTTTTAAATGTTACATTGTATTCAATATAAGAAAAAAGAAGAACAAGAACAAGAAAAGATTTTTAAATTTCATTATTGTTATTTTTTATATTTCACTGATTTTTATTACATATCTTTCGATCTTTTTGTAATGAAATTAATTTTATATAAGTAGATATATAAAACACTAATGTGAAGTAAATGAGTTAGAAGCATATTAAACTCCGATATACATCCGTATATCATATGACCATATATATCTACATATGTATATGTATGTAAGCGTGCGTATTTGACAACACAGTTGTCCTTGAAGTTTTGTACATTTTCTAATACTTGTGGTCATAAGATCATTCATAATAAATATTATACAATTATATTTTCATATGTAATTAACATATCATGTACGTTATGAAAGTTTTCTGCAGAAAAGGTACAACATAAGGAATTAAAAAAAAACCATTGTTTAATTATACGTCTTGTAATCACTTGCTATTTTTTTTTTTAGGATGAGAAATACGCGATAAAACGCTATAAATTAATAAAACTTATAGAATGTACGAAGTGATCAGAAAACAAAATATTGCAAACAAAATTATCTGTATATACCTTTCACAGCCTATCTTACTGTAAATTGATTTTTGATTCTTTTTAAAAAAGCGAGATATCCATGCTGAGCAAACAAATAAACCTGTTATTACTCATTTTCGTATGAAGTATAGTATAATATACTGTTAATAAAACTTATACACTATGATAAAAATTATACAAAATGAGAGAATTTAATACTAACGAAGGATATTTATCGAACGTAAACCAGATTTTAAAATCGACCTAAATACTTATTATTTGAATCGTTCAATTCTTTCAATATACAGATTAACCCGCATCGCGTAAGAAAATCGACTTTAAAACTTCTTTCTAGGAAGAAATAGATCCTATTCCATGTATACTACATACCAAGTATTCTTAAACTAGCAATATAAACCATTTCCTTGATTCTCAATCACATATTTTTGTAAATACTGTGCAGTTTTTTCAGTTAAGCCAAGATTAGGCAACTCTTTTGCAAATTGTTCGATCGTTCCAGCTCCAGCGATGTAGCCATTTAATTTAGCAGCTAACGGCGAATTTCGAAGAACTTCGTCGCTGGTGAGACCGGTAGTTTCGATTAACCATGGGTGATTTCGAAGTCGATATTTCTGATGATAACTAAAAGAACAAACAAAAATGAATTCATCATTTAAAAATAAAAAATCACTTGTCTAAATACTTGATCATTCTCTTGTATAAAGTAGATATATTCAGACAATATAATCAGACTTATAAAAATAAATTGATAGAACTTATGTAACAATGTAAATTGAAGGAGTGGATCAATCTAAAAATCACTTCCTTCTATATTTTTACAAAAAAAGAAAAAAAAAAATTGTTATAACGCATAATTCTTACTCTTCGGCGGGGTAAAACTTCTCAAACTTCCTTATTTCAGTGAGAATCGAATCGGTACGCTTTCGCTGTTCTTGTTCACGTAACTTTTCAGCTATCAACTTTTGTTCTTCATCATGATACAAAATCAACGACATATACTGAAACCAATAATAGAAACATGATCTTTTTTTTTTAATAATTAGCAAGATTAAAATCTATATAGCTGTGACAAAAATCATTGTACCTGTCTCTTGATTTTTGTAGTGAGACCATACTCGTGATTCTCCCAAAACAAAGAGAGTAGCTGTGCATACGATATTACGTCTGGATTATATTCGACATTGACGACTTCCGTATGATCTCCACTGCAAACAAAAATAGTAAGTGCCTGATATATTAACGATTAACAAGTTTGTTATTTAAAAAAGTAACATCTAAGCTATTAATATTTGTACAATAAAAGAATTGATAAAAATGTGAGTGTTATCTTTTTATAAGATAATTGTTTTTATCGCATAATTTATAAGAACTGCATTATATAAATTGTCACACAAAATTAGAAAATCGTTTTAAGCGTACTTAGTTATTTTTAGAAAATGAAATCAGAATGGCACAAGAACGTACATATTTCTGTAAGTTGGCGATTCCTTTTGTCCACCGGCGTATCCAACGCAAGTCCTGATTACACCGGGTAGAACACCAAAAAGGCAATCGCCAGCCCAGAAGCATCCCATTCCGAATGTTGCATGTTTTGCTTGGATTTCTTCGAATTGTCCTGGCATCTTAGTCGACTATTATCATTGACACGTGCCGAACGACGCAGAGGAATATAAAAGAGAAAAAAATATTTGAAATTAAATACACGGCTATAAAGGATAACCTAAGAGATACGAGTGGACATCGTTCGATTCCACAATGATGTTTTAATTTGATAAGGAAACGTGAAACCTGTTAAGTAACGGTTACGCTGAGGATGATCAATGAAATAGTTTTCTAGCGATAAGATTTTCTGATTCTTAGATTTCCTCGACACTAATAAATTTTTAAACATAATACAGGAATATTTTCAAACTTGCGTTTTTAATGGATGTTGATATTAGACCGAAAAGAATGTTTGCGAATGTGAATAAAATCAAAATTACAAATATTTTGATATCGATTCTCATTTGAATATATTGTATGCAATAAGAAATTAGTTTTATTCATTTCGTATTTTTTTGTTTAGAACATGATCCTTTCACGACACCCGTTATGCATAAATTACAGATGTGTTGCATGTGCAAAAAAAGCGCGAAGAAATATACATGGTGAACTATATAACTTGATCACCTTCATCATTTCCGTTAATGAAAATTATTTTAAAATATACTGTTTCGTAATATCATGTTTTTAAACCTCACAGTTCTTCTCAATTAGTTAAACATGTAACATTATTATCCTTTCTTACAATAAAAATCGTACTAATTTTTGAAACTAAATTTTATTCATCAAAAATAGATATATTTTCATGTTTTCAAAAACAGATATATCTTCACGTTCTCTAATTATTTTAATATATCATGGTTAGAAGTACGAAAGTAGAATGATTTTATTGATTAATCTTAGAAGATAGTTAAAATATAGATAAGATAGTTAAATGATTTCAATGTACTTGAACAAGGAATGTCTATCTAGTTCAATCACACTAATACGGTAACACGTAATTGAAGGTGCCACCATTAAGTATTTTTCATGACTAAACGAATTTTTTAAAATCTTGTTTCATAAAAGAGAAAATAAATATATTAGATTAACGGTAAAAATATAATTATTTATCCTTTTCAGTTTACAAAAAAGTGTTATCTAAAAAAAATTTTTTTTATATAAAAATATTTATAAAAAGATATTAAATAAAAAGTCAAATATAAACTAACATATAATGGTTTGTCTCGTAAGTGACAGAGGTAATTCAGACGATATAGATACATGATCTGATGATTTATCTTTTTACGCAGACTTAACAAATTTAAATTTGTGAGATAACAACTTTTACTGATGATTTCAAAGATTGATAATAATAATAATAATAATAATAATAATAATAATAAATAATCAAAGTTAAATGATTGTTAATCAGAAGAAAAATAAATAACTGAACATCTACTGCCTTATTTACTTTTCAAACGATTATTTTATTCCAATATTTATTAGTATGTGTTATGAAAAAAATTGTTTACCTTATTTTATGATAAAAAAGAAAAGATTTAAAAAATAAACGGAAAAATAAAAATATAACAAAAGAAAAAAAGTTTCACTCCAAATTCAACGGAAGACGCTCCGTTAATGACTGAAAGAACACAACTACCGCGTGCTTCAACAGCTCTACTTTTTATCCAGTTATCCCCTCTCTTTCACTTTTCCCTACTTTCCTACAGAGAACTACCACCACTCCTTTCTTATCATTTTGCTGCAGTTGCTCTTCTATTAAATTTCAATATATTCCAAGCTTCAATTTCAAAACTCTCGTCTCAGCATTCTTTTTGCATCTTCCATTTATTACTCGATAGCAAAAATTGCATTTGTAACATCATGACATCAAAGCATAAGCCTATTCGTATGTTCCATTACAATTTTAATATTTAAACGGTGCTGTAAATTTCATATGTACATGACATTGTTTAGTAGAGAATTCTTGATCGAATCGTAAGATCATTAAACGTGCGTTTAATTTCAAATACCGAATCAAGAAACGTGGCTAAGAATATCGGTATTAACCTCTTTCGCGAGAGATACGACGGTATTAATCGATGTCAAATCTCATTGTATATGATACAGATGTTAATTGTTAATTTAAAGGGAGTTCGATCGAGTTGTATCGTGTAAGTTGCATCAGAAAATTGAAGCCACATGTGTCCATTAAATTAGATAACAATTGCTGAACCGACTGATGTAATCGTTGTATCCTGCGTGTTAAGCTCGCTCCAGTAGTTTTGTCATCCACGATCCAGAATGAGCAGTGCCATCACGGCATTGATTGTGTAGAGAGGTTATTATCACATCTTTTATTTCCTGTGTATTTGATACATACTTACATTAATACATATTTGATGTCATTTGTTGATATCAAATCGTGTTTCATTTAAAATGTGAAAACGAGCACGAGACCATGTACCATTTTGTAATCATCAAGACATTGAATTCAACAACGTAATGTATTTGACAGAAACACCGTAGTTTTAACGAATACCATAGAATAAGACAAAATAATGATGACATACCAAGTAGCAATAGTTGATCGCGGTTAAACTTCGGCGTAGCAAGAGGATTAAATTTGGTGTCACCATCTTTGATAGAAATATCTATTGATATCAAGTGCTCTGAAAGAAAAATCATTGTTAAAGAACAATAGTAAAATTTAAACTGTTTTCTAGTAATTGTTTTCAAATCGTTGCAACGTTGTTATCGAATATTTGTTTACTCTGGTAAAATGTGAATGTTCTGTGTCGTTGAAGATACTGGTTTGAAAAATGTCTAATGTAATGAAAATGTGATAGATTTTACGTATTTATATGTACATATGTATTTATATATACTTTCGTTGAAAACTTAACTAATGTGATACCACGTGATTATCACGTTCAGCGGTGGAAAATGTCAGGGACATTTTTAAATATATTTAAAATGAAAACTGACGTTTTATCGCGCGTGAAATTAATTTATTAAAATGATACAATATAAATACGTTATATAACGAAAAATATCTATTTCATTCTTTACACATATTTGTATGTATTTATTATATACGAAACTAAATGTATGAATGAAGTACGAGTTCAATCAAACTTCAATTTCCATCGTGTAGATCTAGTCGTTAAAGATATTTATTGAAATTATACAAATATAAACATAAAATCTATAAATAAGTTCAGGATGTAAAATTTTTGTTGAGATGTAGAAATATGCAATGAATATTTATAGGATATGAAATCAACGTTGATCTGGTATCATGTAATTTGCGATATATATTTAAGAAAAAAACACAGGATATCGTACTATTGTAGAATATCGGCACACATCAAAATTTACAAATAAACGTACTCGTAAAAATATGTATATCTAAATGAATATAAAAAATATTATTTATAACTAACATTCTTATAAAAAACACGAGAAATATTCTATATGATATCATACATAGTAGTCGTAAGAACGTGGTTTTTTGCGCAATATACAATTGAATAATTACTATTTAAAATATACATTACTTCTTCCGCTGTAATAAATAAAATTCTGTACATATTCGAAACGTAACTATAAATTCAGTTAATATTGTATCGCAGTTACTTAATTACTCGCTTAAGTACAATACATCATATTAGAGGCCTACACGATCTCGTTACCTCGGATTTATGAGCGCTGTGTTTTAAGACATCATTTCCCTTCAAAAGCGTATGCAAGTAGTTCACAGAATTAATCAAGGTTCAAGAGGACATTAAAAAAAAAAAAAAAAAAAAAAAGAACAAAAGACCGAAATGGTGCCAATTTGCACCATTTGTGTTTAAATAAAATCTCGTTTGGTATAATTATCTACAATTTTCTATGGAATAGATACACAGATTTATAAGTACTAAAATTATACGTGTATGAAGAAGTGAATAAAATGGAATTAAACGATTCGTAAAGGAAACAGTGACGAGAAAGAAAGTACATGTGTAACTAGAGGTAATTACATGACGGTGCAGCAACTCTTTTCAGAATGACTATCACCGACAATGTCGCTGGTGTTTCCAGTGAATCGTTGAAAGTCTCTGCTAGCGTTGAGCTCGGTATTGGTGATAGGCGACACAGGAATACCATTCCCATTGGCATCGATCGATCCGGCGGATATATGTCGGTTCTGTGCTCTCTGTTTCTTCAAGTCCGATAACGATTTGACAAAAACTACTGAGACATGTATGTTGATCTTGCCGTTGGTGTCGCCATCCGATGCGTAGATCGGCTGTTGATTACCGATTGGTGAGTCAGATCCTGTCACTACCGAGGCAAACATGTAAATCCAATGCTACTTCCTATCTCCTCTGCGATTCACGCGAAATTTTGCTTTTCATTATCCCTCTCATTCCATTTCACCTTGTATTACCCTCCACCTAATTCCCCCTTTTTTTTCTTTCATACACTGAAATGGCACTCCAAAAGAAACTCGACTAGTATGAAAACTAGCAGCCATGCGCTAAGCGGCACATGCTTTAGCAATAAGCATTAGAAACATTGCACGACGGAGCTCCAGAAACACATCCTCTAAACATATTCTACATAAAAACATCTTTATCCTTTGTCTCCTACTTTCTATCGCATTTTATTATCATGTTTTCAGACTTTTTTTTTTTAGGAGAAAGAAGAAAGTTTTTCGACAACGTGGCTCAGTTTTCCTCTTTGCTTCGATAAAAAGTAGATAACGAGTTACATTTTTTTCTTTTTCGGTTTATTACAATGTAAACTAAACCTTCTGAAAGGTTTTTAGGAATGACTCATACAAAGTCTTTTGTATTATGAAAGATGAAAGATTTAGTTTACAATTTGGTATTTGCATGTACTGAATTTGTGTACAGAAATATGTACATACAAAGCGGATGATAGTTGAATTCTCTGGAACACTGAATTTTCGTAGAAATATGTATTGATATCATTTCTAGCTGTGTCAATATTTTTATTATGACGAAGTAATTGTATTTCAAATCAATCATTTTTTCTAAACTGCTGTCTTTGATTCGAATGTAGTAAAATTTATTAAAAATTTCTAAAATTTCTAAAATATAATAGCAACGTTATAATAAATTTTTATTATTTTTAAAAGACAACAAGTATATTATATGATATTAAATATCAACATTTCGTATTAACATTATTAACATTTACAGTAATAATTAACAATTCAAATATATATTAAAATATTTAACAAATTTTCAATTATATAATTTTGTACTTTAAATTAAAACAAATGTAATATTTAGTAATTTGACATTTTATCAGTATGATTGATTTGATGTCGAATCTATAATAGAATCTTATTGATAATATAAATATATGAAATATAATATCGTGACACAACTGACCTCGTAACAACTTTATCGTTTAGCGATAAAACAAAAAGACGGGAAGATACATCGCGCGAGTACGTAACTAACATTGAGTGAATACAATTAATCATTAGCACAACTAACATATTAGGTGTGTGAAAAAGTTCTACTTCTATTTTTTTCTTAATTTTATTTTGTATCGTCAAATATTAAATTATAAAACATGTACGTGAAAAATAATAAATATTAAACTGCTTTAATTATCGACACGAAATCAAAATGAAATAAATAAATAAAACAAATAACTTAACTTATTTTAAAAATACATACATGTACGTGTAAATAATACTAATTATTATTCTCTGATCTTGATTACTATTAAATGTGAATTCATAAAATGACAGAACTTTTCACAAACCTATGTATATATATATATATATTAAAGCAAATCGATATGTTCAATGTTTCACTTTACAATTTTCTATGATATGTAAGTATTACATGAAAGTGCTCATTGAATATGGATTATTGATGCATTATAATATAGATTCAAATCTAGTTAGTCTGTTTGATAGAATATGAAATACTAATAACAACATCACCGAACGAAGCTACATTTGCAATATATTATTTTCTTCACGAAATAATTTTGTCACGTTAAATATCTTCATCCTACTTGTATATATAGAGAGTATTAAGTTATTTGTGTACTGTAAATGTGCGTTTAAGCTTAGAACATTTTAAATTGCAGTAAATATAAAAACAACATTACAAGAACTTGGTTTTCAGCTATTAAACTTATTACAATGTCTCATATAACAATCAAGAAGCTTTGCCAAATGCTAACATATTATTTGCATAAACGTACTAAAAAGAAAGCCAATGCAATTTAGCCCTTGCCACAAGAAGTTCGACTTGAAGAAATATTTTTTACACTAGAAAGATTTTTTAAAAAGAACATATTATATATATATACAGGACAAAAAAAAAAAAAACTGTTACGAGAGAAAATTTCGAACAATCATAAGTTAAAGAATAACACAATGCTGTGTTGAAAAGTTTAAAGAAACAAGAAAGTGACATAGAAAACTGACCTCGCAATTATTCAGGAGCACGACGCAGTAGTAACAGAAAACAGAAAGGGCTGATAAATGATCAATACTTAATGCTTTTGTTAAACAATTTATAGTAAAAATTACCGTTCCAATTTTCATACTAATATAATAATGAACGATCATTGTAACTTTCAACTGCCAATCATTAATTAATTTTATTGAATTATTTTTGAAAAATTTATCAAGGAATGCTTTGTTTTACACAACATAACAAGCGCATGATAAATATAAAGTTACAATAACTATATACAACGTTAACAGGTCGAGTTATGCGACCAAACGTACAGTTTAAGTGGACATGACACGTGACGTACTTTCCTTTTTTTTGCACAATCTTATGCGTAAAACTACCATTTACCAGAGGATTCTACTTAACCATAACCAGTGCGTGTTTAACATGATTTGGAATATACCTGATTCTTTATCGACGTCCTCGTGAAGGAAGGACTCATTATCCTTCCCCTCAGGGGCTTTACGTACAGCTGTTGGTGGTGCGCTAGAATCAGTCTCGCTGCTTGTATTTTCTCGTACGTTAGCATCATTTTCTGATTGTGGAACATTCGTAGTCGAACCGCCAACGTATGTCTGAAACATATAATTTCTTTGTTGTTTGACTTTAATTTTTTCCAAAGTTATTTAATTAACAAAAAGAAAAAAAATTATTTTTCTTTGTTTACCTGTTGTGCTTGTAATCTAAGACGAGCTTCTTCTTGAGCATCTTTTTTCGTAGTCAAAACTTTATCCCTTATTGAAGTTCTTCTTACACTCTGAGTACGTGTATTTATACTTTGAGATCTGCGTACCCGTCTTCCCTGTGCTTCTCGCAATCGTTTACTTTCTTGCTCCGTTTTGAGTTCTACTATTCTTTCTCTAATTTCCGGATCTTCGCAGATATCTATAAAATTAAATTTGATATTTAATTAATATTTCATACAAAAAAGATTCTTTACATTTTACTAATAGGAATATTTTTTACCAGCTGGTGTTTCATCGTGCTTATTTTTTGCATTTAAATCAGCTCCATTTTGTACTAGTAATTCGAGAACTTCTAACTAAAAAGATAAAATGATTACAGAAAATAGATTTAAGTTAAATAAATCGATTAATACAAAATTATAATGTAATTCAGTTCATACATGACCCCAGCAAGCAGCTGCATGAACTGGTTGCCATTTGTCATTGTCTTCAACATCAGTCGAAACATGTTGGTCTAAAAGAAATTCAACTACCCTTAAATAACCATTTGCAGCTGCAATGTGAAGCTAGAATTAAAAAAATGATGAGGATTACTAACAGTTACTTTTCGAAATTAATAAACTTAATAAGTTAATACATACAGGTGTAGCACCCTGATGATCTTTATATTCTAGATCACCACCTATAGAAGCTATATTTTGTAAATCTCGTAACATCTGAACTTCTATTGAAGCTCTAGTTTCATCTATTAATTCTTGAGTAACACCTCGTCGAGCCATTTCTCCTATAGTCATGTAAAAGACAAAAAATTTTATTTTCGTGCATTTCTTTATAATCTTAAACTTTTCAAGCAATTTTTAATTATGAATATTTTAAGGATTTTACCTTCAATACAATCTAACGTCTTTTCATCTTCGCAAATATCATAAGGCATATTACCATCAGCATTAACAGCTAATAAATTGGCACCTTTAGCAATGAGATTTTTAACTAAATGCAAATGACCACAAGTAGCAGCAGCATGTAATGGTGTCCATTTTTCACTATCTTCTGCATTAACATTTGCACCAAATTCAATTAGCAGTTTCATCATTTCTTCATTGTCATCTATACAACACTGATGTAAAGCTGTCAGTCCATCCTCATTTGTTGAATCTGGATTCACTCCTTTCTTCAAAAGTCTCCTCACTAAAGCATAAGCTATTTCTTAATATGCTGATTCATATACTTAGTTATGTTAAAAGCAATTGTAAATAATAGTATTGTGAAAATTATATCATCTTACCTTCGTCAATGTCATTTCTTGCTGCAGCTTCTAACAGCATCACACTGTCACTAAAATATATGTGACGTTTGTTACTTGTATGTCTGGTTTGATGTCGCATCCATTCTTTCTCACGTTGCCGCCATACTTTCAATTGTTGGAGTCTTCTGTGACGAGCCAAATGTAATCTCTCTTGTGTTGTTAATCTTTCTATATGTACCATTTCTGCCACTAAATCAGAATGTTCCATGGCTATATGTTTGTAATTTTTACAGCTGTATTTACCTACTCAAAAGAAATAAATTACACTTTGTTTTGCATATATTATTTAATATTATAACAGGTTAGCATTTGTAATAGAAATAGTGAAACAGAACTCTCAACAGGCAAGGATTTCTTAACAAAACAATACTATGATAAAAATGCATTTGGAAGCTAATCAGATTACCTTTGCACTTACAAAGCCATGAACGCATTCCAAGGTATTTTAAAATTTTGTGACAAATATTAGGCATCATTCTGATATAATATCATGTTTTGAGCTTTCAGATTCAAAATCTGTATGAAGTTTGCTGCATTTTCATTGGGTATTCGTGAATGATATCATACTTTTATTCAAAACTCTGTCACACTTATCAAGTACTTAGATAAGCAAACATACATTATTTACACAAACGTTCCAAAATACTCATTCGAATCATCACAATAAGTTAATATCGCTCTGTGGTTTCTTTTTTCTTGAAATAAAATACAGTTTTTTTTCAAATCTATGAAAAAAATACGTTTGTACTTAATAATTCTGAAAGAGTTGTCTCGCATAAGATTTCTTTCAGACAAATTTTTTAAGCACGATGTGACGCGATTAAAAGATTAACGTAATAAAATGTAAATGTGTACGTTTATTGAAATTGCTATTTCAATACAAAAAAAAAAAAAAAAGAAATAAAGGAATTGCAAAGATACTTGTAATCAACTTATCGCGAAATAAAATCTTCGATTCTGACTCTTACTCTGTGCTTGATGCAACGTAATGTTTCAATGATAAATTACATAATTAAAAGATCTCAATAAAAATAACATATGCAAGGATATTATTTCCTCGCTCTTTATTCTTCGTCTCTTATCTCGACGGGTACGGTCAAGATCACGTATGTATATTCCTTGCGCAAAAGACAAAATAGACATAGAGATAAGGTAACACAGGTGGAGAGGGAGGGAAAAAACAAGACCAACGACGACGAGGAAAATATCACACAGAAACGGGCTTCCGGGGGAGACGGAAATGCGAAGCTGTGTTTGCCATTTCGTGAGAGCGAACGCAGATGAGAAGAGATATCCAGATTTTAGGGCTACGGGAGAGAGTACTCACATCGGCAAGTGTGATCGCTCGTTCGTTCACTTATTCGTTCGCGATCCAGCGGAATGCGGAAGTTCGCTCGTTCGTTCGTTCATTCGTTCGATTTTCTTTTTCCACTTGTTCGTTCGGCACGAGACGGTGAAGAGGCGCGGGGGCGGGGACACAGACAAATCTTTCGTCTCGCCGAGAAGTTCTCGCTGAAAAGCGGAGTGTCGCGAGGAGAGAAAGTCACCGTGTTGATCGATGAAAGCACAACGCAATCCATACGGTCTCACCGGTGTTACGGCCGATCTCACTGTACGAAATTGAACTTCAGGCTGAACGAGAGCCTCCTGCCTCCTTTTAACTTCCCGAAGAATCACGGCGCGTCCGTGCTCGTCGCGGCGCCGTGCACGCGGGCCAACGCGTACCTGTCAGTCGCCATTTTTAAACTACCTGTAGAAAATCATTCGCGCGTTCCCTTCACCGCGCGCTAACTTCGCATTTTTTCAAATTATTTTTACGCGACCAGTCCTCGGTGCGTGCGCGCCCTGCACGTTTCTCGTTTTATTTCCCAGGGATCGTGGAAAATATATATGCAATGCTTGCGAACCGAGAGGTTGCAACACCTAACGCTTTAGTTACGTTTCTTGAAAATTGAAATATCGGTGGTTTGTAACACTGCGATCTCGACACTTTCCTCGATATAATCGCGTTAATTCGTTGAAGTCTCTTAATAATTATAATTATTATTAATTATAATGAAGATCTTAATAATTACAAATAATATATAATAATTATCTTAATAATAAAGCCAACTTATCTTAATAATTAAGTACCAGCACATTTTTACCTGTTCGATTGTGTAAGCAACACGTTCAACAAGATTATTAGTTGATAAAATTCTTTTACAATTAGTTCACGAGACTTTATCGTGATTATGTTTATTTAATCCCTTCCCCTCATTTTTTGTTTCTCATGTAAGTGAAAGAAAGGTACAAATCAAAGAGTAAAAATTTTTTATTAGAAATGAATACATTTTATCACAAATCACATTCCAAAATTATATCATACGTGAACTATTGAAAATATTGGCTTTAAAATGTATTTACATTGAAGGCAAATCAATCGTGCAACAACATAAAATTTATTACACGTTTTGATTTCGACGAAGTCATCCGATCTGCTGACTTAGAATTTGCAAATCGTTGCAAATCTATATTTCATAGATCAAGTGCAACGTATCTAAGTTTGATTACGAAAACGTGAGCGCAAAAGTTCACGAATTAATCTCTTCGATTAATTTCTCTTCGCAAAAAAAGTTTAATCGATTCGTGAGCACTGAAATGCTAGCGTCGCGTAGCGGTGAAACGACAGAACTAATAGCTATCTCTGTCCTTGTCACGCGCATTACGCTCCTCTTCTGGTCACGTGATCTAAACTATCCTTGTCGCACGCTGTTTCTCTTCGTTGTCTGCGGAAGTGCTGCCACCTGTACGCGCATCAAAGAATAGGATAAGAACATGTCATCACTGCCATTTATCTCGGTTGCAACTAGAACTAAACCATATACTGATATATAGAATTTTAAATAAATGTATTACGAATTTAACTATAACAATAACTATTTATTAATATTAACGTTTGACAAGATTTTACAACGATCATTTGCTTCGATTGATTGCTAACAACTGAAAACGCAAAATATTTTCTGCTTTCTTGTTTTCTTTATTCTTTATTTTAAATCAATGTAGCCGCTGTTAAATTCGCTCTTTTAAAAACTCGCGCCACCACAGATAAAACTTTGGCGATGCGGCGGCGCGCGTATTTTTAAAACGAGTTTAACAGCGGCGTTGATTACAAATAAAGAAAGAAGAAAATAAAATATATTATAATTTCAGTTGTTAAGAATCAACTAGCAAACGATCGTCAGAAAGATCTTGTTATATATAAATTAAAATAAATAGTTATTGTTATAGTTTCTTTTCATAAAAAAAATTGTTAAAATGTTGTAGTTTAAATCTCGTAATATAATTTATTTAAAGAGTAAACCTCTAAGAAGAATAATGGTGTCCAACAAGAATAGTATATGTTATACGACTCGATTTAATAAATAATCTTTGGTGCAAATGTGCCGATCCTGTTTACATTTTTCAATTTTAATTCCCATTCACTAGTAGCGCTGCGGTGTAGAATCTGCCTAAATCGGTATGACAGAGAAGGATAAACAAATCCCCCTAACGACTCTAATAAGTATGATACAAAAATCTATCGAATGTTACGTCTATTTTGTACTTCGTCTATGGTTTTGACTAGCGTCTCACATTAGATTGAAATGTATTGAGTGATAGACCTGATTTATATCACTGTCTGTGGTGGTACCTCGTTTCCAATAATAATGAAACGTGAATTTTCATCGACGTCGGAAGAAAATCAACCTTCTTCGTCGTCATGTATTGACAAGAGAAGGCAAGAGGGAAAAATTCGTTTAGCTGTTGTCAGTGGATTTTTTTCAACTGTCGGAAGTCTATTTGGTAAATTCGCTGGTGGTGCTGAAGCCAATTCCATTGTAAGCGTAGTTCCTTGTAACTGTTCTTTGTACGTGTTTGTACAAAGTTAATTATTTTATTCTTTAATAAGTCCGGATTGCTGCTTAAAGGAGTACTTTTAGTATTAATGGTAACAAGCAACACCGTGGGCTGCACATTTTTCGTAAAAGCACTCAACGCCAGCGGATCTTCTTTACCGTGTACAATAACTAGTGCCGCCACCAGTTACATTTGCTCGGTACTTATCCCTTCATCGATATATCAAAATAAGAACACAAAGGGAAGCGAATATATATTTAAATCTAATTTATTTTTCCTTAAAGGCTTTCGCGGGTTCCTTGATTTTTAATGAGTCAACGTCACTGACTTGGTGGTGCGGTATATCCTTCGTTATTTTGGGTTTATTGCTCATTAGCCGTACTCCATCCAAAGACGATTATGTACCTTCCTCGAAGAAGTCGAAAAGCCAGTAACTTCTGAAAATAGTCTTCCTGCTATTTTTGAAGATCATGTGTACTTGTTTTTATATATTTTTTTACAAGTGTAACAGCACTATCTATTTTAATATGTATTAAATGAAATAAATAAACAACTATGTTGAAACTTTCTTTAAGGAAATCGCGAAAACCTTTTCCTTTGCCGCTTTTATTTCGTATCAATTCTTGTTTTCTGTTAAATTACTTTTTTTTTTAAATCTGCGAAACTTTATTTCAAATCTGAATCTATCTAAATTGAATATAACATCTAGGGTAAGGTAGTAATATATTTATAATCAAAGGTAATATATTTTAAATGATGAAAATGAAGCTAAACAAGTGAATGTATATGATAATTAATGCAGAGTTGTCTTTGGTTCTCATTTTTCTCTTTAAAAAGTCTCTTTAAGCAGTCTCTTAAAAAAAAAAAAAAAAAAAACAGAAAAAAAGAAAAAGAAAATACGACCGAGAAACCGGCAAGGAAAAGAACTGGAGTATACTTATTTAGAGACTAAAGTGGATCTCCGTGCCTGTAATAGCACTGGATAAGAAACGCGGGAGAAAAAAGAACAGAAGATTCTTCCGCCCTATTTCCTACCACATGTAGGACTATACAAATTCCTTTTTGACTGAATTGAAAACGAAATTTCTCTCAAGCTCGCGATGACTTAGGTTTCTAGCAAAAGTTAATTACTTTTTCTTTCTCGTTGTACAAAGGAACGCGAGTACGAGTATTCAGTCTCAAAATTAAAAGAAAGTTTCAAAGCTGCTTGTGTGCGTTCGTGAAAATAATTGTAACTAATAAAAAATGCTAAAAATTTTAAATCCAACAAAGAGCAATACTTAATCTAAAGAAATAATCAATTTGTTGAATAACAAGTACGTATGTATATGCTGACTGTAGGTGCGCATATAGATACACGCAGATAGATTAACGTAGGTTAGCGACTAGTCCAGGGTTACTAGCATTTCGTTACAAAGCTAGTATATACTCTAGTTAAAGTGCTTATGTGCATGTGTACCGAGCTGTCCAAGAAGTTTCAGTCAACCAGGTTTCCAGTTTGTGGGGCAGGGTCGTGGTTCATAGGTGTATCATGCGGCTGAGGAGGAGAGTATTAGAAGAAGAACGTAAAAGAAGAGCAAGAGCACGGCTTTATCGAGCGGCGACTGCGCCGTGGTGTTGTTCTCTACACTGCCGCCTACCAGCAACAACCGTTCAAAATATGATAGACTCCCCCCTCTCCCCCTTTCTTCTATTTCCTAATGTACAAGCAAATTTTCTTACTACTGTTCTGTTGCAAATTTGCGTATTAACAAACGTCTGATCCGTGATCTTGAAAATCTCTTTATGACCATGTCAATCGTACTCGACCCGTGTGATTGCACCTCTCGATAGAATTGATCGTTATTCGGATCATCAATACGGCACCTTGAATGCGAGCACTGTAACATTGAGTATCGTAACAATCAATTTACCTACAAGCTACGATCATCGATCGCTCGTAGACGCAGTTATGTAGAACAGTCAGCCATTTGTCAAATAATCACCGGCTAATCGTGTTAAATTCCTAGAGATTATCCATTTCGAGTATTTTTATACATCTTTTACCTTGTCGTCCTTAACCGTGGTAAAGCCTTCCGTTATTCAACGGGTTCTACTGTCCGTGCACGCGCCTTACTTTCCCCCTCCACGGCGTCACTACCCCCACCATCGCTCATTTCCTCCCCACCCTAGCGGCGAGTGCCCCTAGATTCTGGCAACGCTTCTCGCAACCGAAGACAACGGGACAGTTTTCATACGGCGCACCCTCCTGCCAATCGAGTCGAATACCGGATAGTACCGATAGCGAGCGAGCCTGTACGTTACGTGCGGTTCGCGTACCAACTGGATCGGCTGTTATTGCTGCTCGCTTGCACGCGTACGCAACCGTGTTAAATTAGCAAAGGTGCCTTCTTCACGTGAAAAGTGTCGACAGGTAGAGTGAATTATGGCTCTGGTACGATCAATCGGTCCTACTATTGTAAAACCTGTCGCACTCGTTACACCGTATCTTTCACCTGCCTCTTCTCTTTCGCTTTTCACCCGCGGCGCACAATGAACAATCCTTCGGACTCAACCGACCGAGTTACAATAACCGGGAGATCAATTAACACGGAAGCCAGGCGATTTGCAAGGCGAACAAAGAACAGCTCGAAACAATGTAAATACGGCGAGACTTTTAATTGATTCCACTCCTATGTCTGCCCCTTGTGCAGTAATTTCAAAACGCCGTGCCGGAGGATTTACAATCGTCAATTAACTCCCCCCGACGTGATTCGTTAATGCACAGGGGGAAGAGAAACACAGAGCTTATGCTTTCTGCTTACGCATGGGCACTTTACAGTTGTGGCAAACATTTGCGTTTGCTATGATTCGTGATTCGAAGCTTGCGCTGAATATGAAAGAATTACGACACGAGTTTCATTCTTCTTGCGTTGTGTTTGTACACAAGAGAATCGTCCAATACATCGTATTGATTATGAATCGATATCATAACTCATTTAACGTGATGCGCATTATATTCAGTTCTACTTTGCACGAGCACTCCGCTGTCGCTTATGTAATATTTATGAAGGGATCAAAATCACGGTAGAAACACACACACACACACACATACACACATATACGCTATCACCACGAGGAACATCGCGGTCATTTAGGTCATCGTGGTGAAAAAAGCCGCGCAGCTTCGTTTCTTGCTCCCTGCTTTTTTTCTTTTCTTCTTCTTCTTCTTTTTTTTCAGCCTGGCAGTCCGGTTGCTCTTAATTCTTAACTTGAGTTATTGTCCCGTCGAATTTGACTCCCGGCAGGATCTCGCCGCGCCACGCAAAGACCAGCTTCGATTTTCCATCTGGCAGAATTCCAACTAATACGGGCTAAAACCGAAAGACGCGAAAACTTTTTAATTTATCGCCGCGGGGCAAAGTAACGATTGTGCCCGTTAGCCCGCGCTTCATTCTCACCGTTCTGGCAGAGGGACGGGTATCCTCCTATCCTTTCCTACAAATGCATCGTGCATTTAAATTGTCAGGGAAAATATAGGATATTCATCACGGCCGGCCAAATGAAACAAAAGCTCTCCTTTAAATTGCACCGTTTTCACCACCCAAATGATAACTTGATCGCCAGCGATGAATCCATCTTTTGTTCCGCTATTTCTATTGCTGCCTCAGTTATCGTTGTCGTCAAAGAATCGAGGAGATATCTGCAACATCTTACAAACGATCGTTCGATGAATATTCCATTATTTCTATTGCCACTTGCCTCCCTCCCCCCCGGTCCCCGCCTTGTAACTCGCTTGTTATCAATCGCTTTGCAGACATTCGTGAGTATATCACGAGCGTAACACGCGAAAGCTCGCCGTCGATCGTTGTTAAGAATTTTCCACGAAGGCACGATCGTCGGTAGTTGCACGCTCCGCGACGCGATCCAGCGGAATAAATACGCTGTAAATGCTTGCATAGATAGGTCCCGGTGGAAAAAACAGAGAAGCACAGAGTAACGCACATGCTACGATGCATACACACACACACACACACATACAAAACACGCATACACTTCAAAAAGAGGTTTCGTGACAATCTGCTCGATCTTCGGTTACGAGCAAGATTTACGGCACCAAAGACCCACATTTTTTTTTTCGCTTTTTTCTTTTTTTTCTTTCTTTCTTTTTTTTTTTTTTTTTGTATAAATAATGAACGAATGTAGGTGAAAGATGGTGAAACGAAATAACGCCGACAGTGTTTTACAACTGTCATTAATAATTCGCGCGAAGATATACACTTCGATATGGTTTTTTGTTACATCGTAACGAGACTTGTTACATCGCTGAATAAAAACAGGAAAATTAAGAGAATAAAACATAACGAAAGAGAAAGATACGAGTGACCGAGCCGCGAATCACACGTTGCGATTCTTTTAGCGAGAAGAATGTCGCAGAGAAGAAACACGTTGGCGCGCGCGTACCGCATTATGAGCGCTATATCCGGTGACTTCGAGGGTTTCAATTAGGCGGCCGTGATCGAGTCGATCAGAGCTCGTAACCAGCTTCGAGGATCCATCTTCAACGATGATGCTGAAGGAGGGACGCGACGGCGGCCACAAACGAAATTGTTGTCCAACAATAGAGAGATCATCGGGGAGCGAGCTCGAGAGACGAAAGATAAGAGAAGATCGTCGAGTCGTCCCAAACGTGTCGACCGATTAAACCGATAGCTCGGCTCGCTTTTCATTCGTGAATTTACGCTTCTGTGGCTGTGGGCCCCCGAGGGAATAACGCGCAATAACGTAAACTTGCGAACATGGGGAATGGCATGAACAAGGTGAGAAATAATTTCTTAACAGATAAGTTGAGCTTCACAACATCGACACTTCCTGTCATCTATCGAAGAAAAAACGACATTAAAATGTAAATATGTACATAATAGAGAGAGAGAGAAAGAGGAAACGGTTAAAAATCAGGCAAATATCTTACGTACTCGTGGCATGCAAACGTAAATCAATAGAGTGTAATTACGTTGATATCGTAATGACGAAATTACGTTATTTTAGGCGGTTATTGTGTGCCTTAACCTCTATTGAGAAACTATGTTAACGATGCACGTGCTTCTACATCTTATTTTGTCGCCTTCGCGTATGTGCATATTGTAAAATCGTTATAACCGTCGCCTCTAATTTTATCTGTCCCAGATACCGAAAATTCAAGATACCTTTTCTCTTGGCCACGTGCATCTTGCGCGTAATATTTAACAAATTTCAACTTTTATTTTGAAATGTCGTACAAACACTAATACCAGTGAAGCTTACAAAACGATCCTGGTACTACTAAACTACTAGAAATGTGCAGAAATCATAGAACATTTGCTGCGAACGTGTTCTTCACAGGAAACTCGAAATACCAATTACTTCTTATATTATATTGAAACCACGTTCTTTTTATATTTAAAACTACGTACCTTTTTATATTTAACCCACGATATTTGCCAATACTATTTTTAACTTTACTTGCATATATGTATACTTAAAACGACTGTGTAATAATGTTTATAAATAGTATATTACTATATTTTTATAAATAGTATATTATAGTATTTGCTGTAATAGTCTCGTGATTTCTACATATACGTACACATTTTCAGATTACTTTTTCAAGTGCCAATACAATCAACAATAGTCACGTCTCGTTGCAGCGTCGAATATGAAATATGAAAAAGTTCAATGTAACACAGGTGATACGTATACTCAGTAGTATTCGAATACTTTTATAATACGAGCACTGTATGTAGTTTAACTCACGTCAGCTCGTCGAACGGTTCTTTCGATTTTTATCGCCGAATTGACGGCCTAACCTCTATTGTCATACGATGCATAATATCGGCCGACCGATGCACGTCGAGATTTCAATCGATGGTCCCGATGAAAAGTTAAGAGTTGGTACTATTGTTCTCGTGTTCGGCTAGAGACACCTCACTTAAGAATGCGGCATCGATTAAACGATTAAACGAGGCGAGCCTCACCTGGTGGATAAGTAGTACGTACGCGTTCGAGTGATCATCCACGAAAATGAACGATTAACGGCGGAGCACCTGCATCGAAAAGAAAAGCTGTTCTGTCGACTTTTTATTCGTTTTCTCTTTTTTCATACTCGTGCTATCTCGAGCACTGCTCGACTCCTTTTCTCTCTCTCTCTCTCTCTCTCTCTCTCTCTCTCTCTCTCGCGCGCGCGCGCGCGCGCGCGCTAATTACGATAGAAGAGGCAACATCAATTGAACGAAGGAAACGTGCGTGTACACACGTGTGAGCTCAAAACGCTACTCGTTTTACGAATCTAGTGATTTTAATAACGAACGGGGATTTGCAGGCGGACGAGTTAAACGATACAGGTTTTAAAAATTACGCTACAGTGATATGTAAGTCAGTATACATTGCATCGTTCTTTACGCGCGAGTGTCATCTCTACAATTTCATTCGGTTTATCTCGCAACTTTACTCTCAGGTCATTCCACAGGTTAACTTTCAGAATGTTAAAAGATGAAAGTTTAATCTGTTTGCTAATCGATAATGCATTATCTTTCCTGAGGAAACCTGTTGAGACGTTGGAAGTGTTTTTTTTTTTCTTTTTTGCGAAAAATAGCAACGACCTAACTTTCATTCGTTCACGTCGTGTTCTACGAAGTGTTGCATTTGTTCCGTGTGGACAGGTCCTTCCCGGCCTTTACGTCGGGAATTATCACGATAGCAAGGATGCAGACCAATTGGAACGGTTCGAGATCACACATATTCTGGCGATTCACGACACGGCTCGCCGACTGCATTCCGTGAGTATCCACACAGAAGATAAATTGTTTAACTTGGCCCAAAGAGTTCTACGAAGTTGGCTCGATATATATGTATATATATATATATATATCGGTTGTAGGACAAACATTATCTGTGCATATTGGCGGCGGACAGTCCAGATCAGAATCTGTCTCAGTATTTCTCCTTGTGTAACGATTTTATTCACGCCGCACGCCTACGCGGTGGAAACGTCCTAATACACTGGTGCGTAATAATTTTGCGATTACACATTCATCATCGTTCAATGTGTTGGATCATTCGTTAAAAATTCGCAACGAAAAGAAGAAGAAGAAGAAAGAGAAACATATCGAGCGATTAATCTTGATCTTTAAGCGGCGGTTGACAACCGATTTAGGAAGCATTCACCAAACGATATATATTTGGTTTCAGCTTAGCCGGCATGTCGAGAAGCGTCACAGTAGCAGTGGCCTATATTATGAGTACCACCAATCTTTCATGGAAAGAGGCACTTAAAGTTGTCAGAGTAGGTCGTTCCATTGCCAATCCAAACGTCGGTTTTCAGCAACAGCTGAAAGATTTCGAATCCAGCCGATTGCACGAGGTATTCAAATTAATCGTTTGAAAGAGTGGCCCGAGGCCGGCTCTTTTTATGCTACATTTTTTCTCTTTGTTTTTTCTTTTTTTTTTTGCAAAAGATTCGATGCATTTAAGATGCGAACGATCATGTTAATGGAGAGAAAATTGTCGAATCTTTAACAATGACACGATAAATCTTTGACAATTGCTCGATGATAAAATAAAGGATTAGTCGAGTTAAGTTTTAACATTTTAAAATTCAATCTTATTGTATTGTAAGTCAGTTCTATATAAGAAAAAAGGGGATTGTTCATTGAAAGAATTAGCTTGGAAATTCGTTTGATTGACGCAGGAACGACGTAGGTTGAAAGAACGATTCCCAAGCCTGGCGCTCGCGGAATCCGACGCAGAAATATGCCGCACTACTTTAAGAAATTACGAAACCATGGCATTGGCACGAGAAGTGTGCGAGGGGAAATGTGCCATGGGCCGTCCTTGTCCGACTGGACTATGTAGGCAACCTTCCAAAAGGTTTGTTAGTTCTTCTGTCTGTCATCCTGTCCAACTTGAATCCGTTTATCAACGTCAGATAACGTGCCCGTCGCGTACGATCTCTCATTTCCCTTTGATGTACGTACGAAAGAAGAATTCACGGAAATAGGAAATGAAACCAACATGTAACTCGATACGACCTCTTTGTTGCGTACAGAAGCCCAAGAAGAAAGCCATCCACAGGCAGTACCAGCAGCTTAAATACAGGCAGAACACCACCACAAACGCCAAGGATGTTGCCATCTGCACCGCCTTCACCAGCTATGCACCGGTCGGCCAGCGTGCTCTCAACAGCGCGGCCAAGAAGCGGCCCTGCTGGTTTGCATTATTATACCGGAGGATCTGCGCCTCCTTCCAGGTAATTTCAACACCTTTGTAGAGGTGTATCGATTCTATAATCATTTTTAAATTTTCACTAAAGACCTAGTGCTCGAAAAACAATGACTGACGATAAACGTGGTACCTTCAGGGCAGTGTCGAGAGTGGATTTATCGGCTGCAGTGGCTTGCAGCAGTAGTAGCACGAGTCTAACATCGGTAGGCAGATCGGGGATGTCCAGTAGCAATTGGCGATTGGCGGCTGGATCCGCACCGAACACACCGAGGCCAACGCCGCCGGTCTCCCCTCAACGTTGGCCAAGACGAGCCTCTACTCGACAAACGCCCGCCTTGCCGATTTCGCCGGAAACTCCTTCGACAACGACGTAGCACTTACGGAACGTTGCTTCGTTCTCGACTTTGCCCGAGTAGCCTCGACGTTGATTCATTCGTTGATTCCTGACCGCACACGTTAGCGCGCGATCATCGCTGATGCCTGACGAACGCGTCACGTTAGCGTTTCGTTGCGAGCATTGTAGAAACGTCGAGTGAGAAGTATTGAGAAATTTTTCGATAACGGAGCAAGCACTCGGAAGATCGAAACTTAAGTTAAAACGCGAAACGATGCCCTACGATCATGCGACTTCTTCTAAAACAGTCTTTCAGCGAGCTGCATCAAACCACGTGGACGCAAAGATGCTTTAAATAACGTACGACATTTGGAAATCAAGTCGTTTCTGAGTACTTTTACCTGGCCGATACAGCGAGGAAGCTAAACGATAAACTTTATTACAAATAATTCATCGGTCGAGAAAGTTTGAGAATGCTTGTTTTATTGATTGTATAAATGATTAAGAAGGGGGAAATCTATGCCAGCTAATATAACGTTACATGTTCGTAACGTCGTGTTATTTGTACATTAATTAAAACGTCACGCGCGAGAAATCGCACAATGCACTTTCTTTTTTCTTGCCGAAAAGCGAGCCGAAATTTGACAATGAGCGGAAAACTGAATGCTTGAGCATCGACGCAAATGTTTAACCGATGCGACGCGTATAATGATTTGAAACGCGCGTGACAGCGATCATCGACAATCTTGCGTACTAGAATTCTTGTTAATTAACGTTTTTTTAAGGCGTACGATGAAAGTTATTATTTACGACGAAGCTAATATTACGACAAGAGTAATTCTTCGTTTCAAGAGAACTCGAGAAGGAAGGAAAATTTACTCGTAGAGATATCTCGATTACTTTCCAAACAGTATCGTTACTATACAAGAGAAAGAAGAAGAAAAAAAAAATGGTAGTTAAATTCGCTGTTAGAAGTACAGAAAATCGTTGCGAGTAACATAATCCCATCAGCAAATTCACGTCGGTCGATTGTTACAATATACACTGGGCATCAGTGTTTCGTTTAATTCACTCACAATCAGCTGAACGATTTCAACGATAGCGTACGGAATTTTGTTACGGCGCGTTTTTTTTTTTTCTCCCCCCGATCGCGATGAATCGCTTTGAATCATGAGAAAAATTCGTCGTTCCCCTTTCATTATTCAGTCAGTGCTTGACCGCGATGTTCGATGTTTGCGTTCAAGATTTCTAGAGGTACAATTTACAAACGTTAGGGAAAACAAAAAAAAAAAAAAAAAAAAAAAAAAAAAAGAAATGAAAATGACAACCGGCCGTTTTGAGGGAACACGGTGAACAACTTATCGCCATAATACCGAGAGATGATGTCGTTCAAGAAATATCTCCAATTCGAACGAAACAGCGAGAAGAGCAAAGAAGAACGCGAGCCGTTGTTCCTCGAATCGTTCCATTGAGTTTGTTCGCAACCGTCCATTGTAGTTGTTGGATTTGTAGCGAAAAACCACGCTGTTTAGCGCAAGTTGTTAATCCAAAGGGAAGCATATTACATATATACGCGCATACGCATGTATTTCAAATTGGTGCGCCGATGAAAGTATTTTATGCACACTCTGCTAGACCGTCAACTGTGATTGAAAGGTGATTTATCTTCTCAACGCTGGTCGTGTCAAAGAGGAGAAGAGGAGAAAAGGAAAAAAAGGATAATTTCTCCATTAGTCGCACAATATTATTCGAATGACACAATGTGTGTTACTCGATTTCAAGCGCACTCCCAGACAACTTTCTTTTTGAAGTGCAAACGAAAGAGAGGGAAGAGAAACGGACGTATAGATACACGCGAATTAGTGTTAAGAGCGAATTAGTGTTAAGAGCACAGAGTCTCTTCATTGTGTGCATAAAATTCTACATATCATCGTACACCCTGTATGCATATACACTTTGTAGGCATACGTTGTTGCAAAAGGATTTCAGAAAATTTTATAACTTGTTGGCAAATGGTGATTATTATGCGACTATGTCGTAGATTAGATAGACAAGTTGTTATTCTTTCGTGCACCGACGTACGATTGCACACGACGAGTGAGAAAGAGAGAGAGAGAGAGAGAGAGAGAGAGAGAGAAAGAGAGAGAGAGAGAGAGAGAAAGAGAGAGAGAGAGAGAGAGACAGAAAAAAACAGAGTTCGCAAGCGGATCTCCGATATCATCCCTCCTATCATCGAGGCATATTTTTCTTCGCATAATAGAATGACATTTATTTTTCTAGTATCATTCGATTTGTCATAGATTAAATACGAGAATAAAATAAATAAATAAGTAAATAAATTTTAGAGGATAGATATAATGTGCGCAGTTAAAGAGTATAAGAAAGTGCTCGTTTCATTCGATTTTTTAGGGTTATCCAATCCAAAAGGTGTGATTTTAACAATTTCGTCAGGAATCGATCGACTGTAATTGTCAAAATCACTTTCACGATGTAAGCTGTGCTCTTTTGAATAGTCTGAATCTGCCCGAATTGATAGAGGTTAAAACGATTGCTCATTTTCGCTGTGTAGTCGCATAGTTATTATTTAATATTATCATTGATTGTGCCGTTAAATAAAATCTGCATGTTACTGAAGCAATAAAACGTAGAAGATTCAAATAACATTCTAGCAATGGATATTTGTATGTATTTCGTTAGCCTCGCTAATTGTAAGACTAACTACCTATCATTTCGATCAGTTCAAAGGAGTACAGATATGACAATGTTACAAATTCACAAAGTATTTTTTATAAACTTATTGTTTTCAAGGTTTTGCTCGATAACAACATATCGCTGTTATTAAATATATATACACATATATACACCGACACACGCAACGCTTGACCATTTAAATACGAGAATGTAATAATATATATTTGTAGAGAAAGAAACTCTTCACGAATCGCAAGTTACTTTTCAAGCTATCCATTATTTCATCTTAAAATCTTTTGTTTGAACATTGTGATATTTTAGAATAATTTCGAGAAACAATGAACGAATTCGATATGTTTATATCTTCTATTCGATGCCTATTGCTGTACAATTTTAGGTTGTGACTGTGCGAGAAAATAAAATATATTTCAAGCAAAGAAGAAAAGGCGAAAAAAGCCAAGAGAGAAAAGAAATAGAGAAAAGCATGTTTAAAATTGAAAAACAATTCAATTTACGCTTAATCAGGTAACTTTCGAAAACAGTTTAAGTCGCGATTATTTTCTCAAAATATTCTGGATACTCTGGAAATATGAGACGTCATATTTTCTTCTTTTACTTATAGAAAAAAAACACATAACACGGGATCAAATAAGAGAAGTATTATATGTATTATATGTATCATTTCTCAAATTGTACGCAAAACACGATAACGTGATATTACGATAATATAAGAGAATTTTCATTGCATTGCATTTTGAATGTTATACGCTTTTTTTCCTTTGTTTTTTTCTTTTTTGTAAAAAAAAAATTCATAGTGATTTTTTCGAAATCAATTCATAGCGACTTAGGCTTTCAAAGTTATCTATGAGTTTTTTTTACTATATTTGTACGATATCGACATGCTTCAAGATTAAACGATACATGACGCTTCTTTGAAATTCACGATGTTTAATATTTTATATTTTTTACAGGATTATGTAAAATTTGCTTTAAAAACGATATATGTGCGTTAACAATATTTTTCTATTTACGAAATCGGTCGAATATTTTCAGCATAACTATATGTACAATTTTTTTTTTTAATACACGTACTCGAAAATTTCAGGGCTATTAAAAAAAGAAACAAGAGACATAAGGCCTTTTTACATTATGTTGTATATTTACGATATTGTCCCTAATAATGATTAAAAAAGATAATTTGAATAATTTTGGTAAAACTTTAATAAAATTTCTGGCGCTTCTTAAAACAATGTTGTACCGTGTTCATTCCTTTTCACAACAAATGGTGATATGCGACTATTGATTTTGCAAAATTCATAATTAATAGGAAAGGTACATATTTACATAGTTTCTTTAGTAATAACAATGTCCATTAGGTGGCGTGATACGGATATTTTTTTTAGAGGTGGGAGTTACCCATTTAAAAGAATAGATTTCAGCCGATTGGTGAATGATAAACGAAACGAAAGAAAAAAAAAGTACACAAGAAATTGTTATCTTCGCGATTCATCGTACTCGTAAGCTTACATGTAATCAGACATGTAATCAATCTACAATAACTTTTGTGACAATTAGATAAAGGAGCAATGAGCGGAAGATAAATTTAACCTATTAATGGGAAACTGTGACACCTTGTAAGGTCGTTGTCAGTTAATTATGGGGATTGCTTAAAGGGTTAACAAAGTACTTGAGAACAGTGAGCACAATGATAAATTTGTTTGTAATAATGCACAATAAGTATTATTTTATGGGATGAGTTCTTCTCCTATTTCGGTATCTCTCTGCGTTATTCGCGTCGAGATTGTTGATGAGGATTCTGAAGAATCTAATGGTAAATATTTATGTGTATCATATGTTAGAATCGTAACATTCAACTATTATTACTGACTTGTATTTTCTACTTGTTTTTATAATGTATCTCTTCGATTAACCTTTTTGTTTACAAGTCCTTTTAAGGTTATGTTGTTTATCATAACAATGTTGTGCTTGTATTATTATCTTTTTCTATAAAATTCAAATAATTTTAAATATAGGATATTTATCTATAAGGGAGTACATGAATAAATAAAATGTGTTTAAGAAGAATCGTTCGTATTTTTTTTTTTTAAATTATCTTATTACATAGAAGCTAGACTTGAAATATTTTTTTAATTTACATAATTCTTCATTTTTGTTTGTTTTATCCTTTACAAATTAAATGTAATATTATTAACCAATTTTTACAATCTTAAGAGACGCTTTCAAATATTTAATGTATGAAGATTGCTAAAAGATAATTATTAAAAGTACAAAGATCATACCTTGTTTGTATCATGATTAATTCACAGTGGATTTCGTAATCCAGGCGCAATGGCTACCAAGATGAGAGGTCGCAGAGAACCAACCAAAATAAACATGGAAAATTGCACAAATCTTACAGAGAAACAAGACTCTGTGCTTCCTTCTCAAGGGACTAGCAAATCTAGCTCTACTTCTAGAGCTAATTCTGAAGAAAATACCTATGATGATTCAGAGATAGCTGGTGCAAGCGCTTGTGCCTGTGACCAAATCAATTTCATCTCTGGAAATCCATTTGTCGAAGTGACCAAAGGAATTATACATTTATATAAGGAAAAGTAAGCACTCTTTAATTTTAAGTATCATTTAATTATAATAAACTGCAATCGTTTATGTTTGTATCACAGTATCTAATAATATCAACAAATTCTAGCAAATTAACAGATATACATCACGCAGCAGAACGTACCCAAACTATCTGCATTCTCTCAGTTCCAGCTACAATGACCTGTCATGATCTTTTAAGATTTACAGCACCTTGCCATCAAGATGTTCGACATTTTAGAATACTTAGAGATGGTAGTCCTAATCAATATATGGCGTTGATTACCTTTAAATCTGCTGTAATTATCTTTCATGAATCAAATTCTTTTTATTGTACTGATTTTTCACTGTTATAACATCAAATTTCATATGATATTTTAGAATGCAGCAACAGAATTTTATGGTTCTTTTAATGGCACCCCGTACAATTCTTTTGAACCAGACGTTATTTGTCACATGGTATTTGTATACAGTGTAGAAGTGACATATAATGCTATGCCGTTGTCTGGACACACGGAATTGCCACTTTGTCCAGTTTGTTTAGAGAGAATGGATGAAAGTGTTGATGGAATTTTAACAATTTTATGTAATCACACATTTCATGCAAGTTGTTTAGCTAAATGGGGAGATACCTCTTGTCCAGTTTGTAGATATGCTCAAACACCAGAATCATTTGCAGATAGTTATTGCATGGAATGCAGTATGTAGACAATAATTTTTTTTTATTAAAAGAGTGAAAATATCACGAAAATAGAAATTATGCAAATATATTTTAGATACTGGAGAAAGCAACGATGCTTTGTGGATCTGTCTAATATGTGGACATATCGGTTGTTCGCGGTATCACCAGGGGCATGCATTTCAACATTATCGCGAAACACATCATTGTTATGCTATGCAATTAGGAAATAACAGAGTCTGGGATTATGTTGGAGATAATTTTGTTCACCGATTATTGCAAAATAAAGATGGAAAAATGGTTGAAGGTGGTCCTACAGCAACAAAAGCTGAAGGAGCTGCAATGGAAGAAAAAGTAGATTCCGTACAGTTGGAATTTACATATCTCCTAACATCACAATTAGAAACTCAAAGACAGTATTTTGAGGATAGACTAGCACGATTAGAACAGCATTCTGTATTACAGACTACAGAACTTAGAGAAAAGTTGGGTCAGGTATCAGAAGAAAATGCTAAAGTTAAGGTAATTTTTATTAACATTTACTTGGTTTGAAAATTAAAAAGAAAGTTCATTATTTTTACTACATATTTTAGGAACAATTAGCAATATTAAGTCGGGAGAAGCAAAATGTGGATAAACGACTGCAGCAAGTTAGTAATAAATTGATACAAGTACAAGCAGAACTAACTGAAGAAAAAGAATTAAGAAAGGCATTAGAATTAAATCAAGTCTCTTGGCAAGATAAATATAAAATGTTACAAAATGAAATGACCGAGTACCAAAAAACAAAGCAAACAGAAGTAACAAATTTAAAGGAACAAGTACAAGATTTAATGTTTTATCTTGATGCTCAAAACAAAGTCGAAAACTCTGAGTTACGAGAAGAAATCGCATCAGGTCGTATAGTGATTCCAGAGACTTCTAATTCTGCTAAGAAGAACACTCGACCTTCTAAATCTCGTAAAAAACGTTGATGTTGTTCACTGATATTTTCTACAAAAAATTGAGTTTGAATCATATTTAGAAATTAAAAACTGACTTTGTACTTTTTTGATTGTATAAAATAACTCATTTTTTTTAATGATTTTAAATAGCAAGAATCTGAAAGTAAAGTGATATAGAAATTATTATTTTCGAATTAATATATTAAGTTAATGTATAAAATTTTAAATATAAATTGATGCTATATATGTATGAAGTTTGTTATATGGACAATTCCAAATTTGGTTTATTCTGAAAATAAGTGATATTGTTTCATATTTATTATCTTTTGCCAACGTATCGTTTCATATTAAGCATGGAACTATTAGATTTATTTTTAAACTTGTAATTATATTTATATTAATATTCAATAAGTTATATTGTTTTAAATAAAAGCAAATATTTTAATTTTGAAATTTCCTATTTTCTACAAAAAATACTTTAAATGAATGTGATTTTATAAATGTAAAATATATTGAATCTCAGAATAAACACATCTGCTAAAAAACAATTTTGTTTACATAAATTTTAAACTCTGAAATTAGTAAAGTTGTGCGAGTACTTGAAAATTATATTTGAAGATATACACACATAGTATTAAAATTATTACACTTTCTCTTTAATTTATCAATAAATATTCTAACAAATAATAATTCATGAAGTATCGATCAAATAATTGCATGACACATACACGTATGTATGTACATTTAAATAAACGTCACTTATGTTTTAATAAATATCATTTACTTAAAATTAGTCTTTCAGCTAGCTAATTTTTCAAATGAAAAATAGATTCTACACTTTTTAAAATCCATAACATGTTTGTCCTGAATACTTTTGCCAAATTTTTATACATTTATCCGTACTTTATCATTTGTTTTTACATTACATTTTCCATTTAACGAATGAGAAACAAACATGGTATTGGTACTTGTAATAAAAATACAAAGAAAAACTTATTTAAAAAAGTACCTCAATACATAATTTTTATTAAGGTATACACATGTTGCTGATTTATATTTTCTTTTTATGATAGTAATTAGCCTATTTTTATTCTCATAGAATACGAGTCGCTTTTAGACAATTATTAATTGCCAACACAATTTGTTGGTTCAGTTATAAAATAAAACTGATATACATATTTACATTATTTACATTGCATTCAATTAGAATACATATGTTAACTAAACGATTGCACATTTGGACATCGATGTTGGTTATGCATGAAAATAAGTTTCATTTAATGATCGGCAATATCAAAAAATTGTTATATTTATTAACTATCAACAAAATAACTGTAATTTGTTAAATAACTAATAACAAGAAAAAACTCAAAGTATAATATGGAAACAATGTATTTTTGAAAATAATGTTCCATGCAGTTTTATCGAAATTTATAGTAACGATTCGTAGAAAGTTACTTTAATAACAAAACGTTCTTCGTACAATACAACGTAATTTTAATATATTTAATATTAAAGATTATCGCTCCATCATTCATACTGCTCTCTAGAAATTAAATGATACATGACCTGCTAAATATTTTAATGTAAAACAATTAACTATTAAGACATTTGTCACAGTATCATTATATCAAATATTTCAAATCACTCACACGCTGGTTCTTGCTTGTTATTTAAGACATCATATGTTAATATTTATTACGTTTAATATATATACAAATATATGTATATCGGAGAGCAATATGAGGAACCAACATCGATCAGTCTTGGAATTAGCGATAAAATATATTCTGCGAAATACATAAATATAAAAGAATAATAACTAAGATCCGTAACTACCTTGTGATAATTAATAACGCTAATTATTGATAAGACCTTATGCGTTGTAAATTCAACACACATAAATATGGGCCTTCCAGTTCCTTCTCACATTCAATGCCAATACACAAAATTGTAATATATATGTATGCTTTGTGTAAAATAGTTATTGTAAAAAAATTTCGTACAATGATCAACACATAAAAGTGCTTAATGATTTCATAATATCGATCAGTTAGTTATTATTACCTAATAGTTAATTAGTGTAAGTTGGCAAAAAGCATTTCATCGTATAGTCTTCCTTTATGGAAGTTATTCAAATCTTCAGACATGTACCAGTTAATATTTGTTAAAAATTTCTTATTATCTTAAGTAGTTACAGTCTCGAGTCATTGTATTTAGTGGACTATATGACGAAAATTTACGAAGTGCAACATACAATGCACAATGCACAATACAACGTAAAATCGTCTTTTCCTTTTTCGCAATTAAGACAAATAAAATCCTTTATCTAATAGAACTGCTAGATATTAGCAGTTAATTCAAGTTTAAAATGTCTATATTAAAATATCTAAGAAACAATAATAGAAACGAACGAGATTTTCAAAAGATTAAGAAATACAATGTATAGATATATTACTTTTTTTGTGATATATTACTTATTTTTTTCGTTTTTCAAATGAAGAAAAAAATTTTAAATAGATAAAGGAATAAGAAGTAAAACGTTAAGATAAAATATTGCGAGATAGTATTTTTTAAAATGTTGATACTATAAGTAAACTAGATCAAAAGTCTCGTTCTTTAATTTTCGGTATTTACAGGTTCTCGTGCATGATGAATTCTGACATGTTTGTTATGATTGGATTTCGTACCGCTAGACTTTCCACAAATATGACATGTATATGGTCTGGCACCCGAATGTACTCGCAAGTGTTCTTTCAGATAATATGATCTATGAAAAGTTTTGTTGCAAACATCGCATGTATAAGCTTTGTTCTCCTCATGTTCCTTTACATGCCTTAAACAATTATATTTTCGTATGAATTGCGCTCCGCAATAGTTACAAGTATAAGGACGCACGTTTCTATGAGAATTCATATGAGCAGTATAATCACTATGCCGGTAAAACGCGCCACTGCACTGATTACACTTGAAAGGTTTGGTGTTACGGGCAGCGTGAGTCCATTTGTGCAATTGTAAGTTCCACTTAGTACTAAATGCTTTAGAGCAAACTTGACATTCATACGGTCTTTCACCATTATGAACTCGCATATGCACTGCTAAGGAAGATCGTAAATAAATACACTTACATACAGGGCATTCAACATTTTCGCTCTCTCTTTGAGCATCTGGAACGAATCTTTTATTATGAGCTCGGCGCATGTGTCTAGTCAAGCTGGCCATATGGATGAATCTTTCATTACAGTATGTACATGCTTTAGGTTTCTCATCGTGTGTTTCTTTATGCCAAGCTAACTTTTTCTTTGTATGAAAAACCTCACCACAATGACATATGTAATCTTTCAATTTCTTCTTTATGTTTAAATGATGTCTATTTTTGTGCTGTGTTAAATTTGAATATCTACGGAACGTTTCATTGCAAAGATTACACTTAACAGGTGCATTCCCAGTATGACCATTGGTATGCTCATCTAATTTCTGTTTCGTTAAAAATGCTTTGTCACAAACAGTACATGGAAATGGTTTAATTCCTAAATGTCGTTTCATGTGTAATTTGAAATTTTGTTTCCTATAAAAATACTTTCCACACTGACTACATTCTAAAGGATGTATTTTCAAATGGGCATTGAATAAAAGAACTGAAGGGAATTCTTCATGACATATCTGGCACTTGGTGCTCTCACGAATTCGTTTTGTTGTTTCTGTAATATGTACTCTTCTATGGTGTAGTTGCAATGATTTTTCACTACTAAATCTCTGATTACAAAGAGTGCAGATCACTTCAATGTTTGATGGTAGTACTAGTGTTTCAATTTTTTGATCAGCTTCTACTTTTGTAATTACATCAGATGATTGTGGTGGTTGAAGTTGGTGCAACAATGGTTGTTGATGATAAACTTGCTGAACATGTAAACCTGGTACAAAAATATCTTCAAATACATTCATACGGCCATCCAGTAACTTAATATCCTTTACTTCAGGTTGTTCTGTAGAATCTCTACTGCTACTCGGGCCAGCTTCTTTGTGCGCAGTAGTACTATGTACCCGGCGTTCTTTCGGACAATCAAACACTTCAGGGCAATGATAACACTTGAACATTCTTTTTGTAGGAGTTTTTCTATCTCGATCTAAAAATAAACTTGATGTAAAATGTGTTGCTAAAGATCTGCTATCTAATAGTGGGCCTGCAATTTCATTATCAGACCCATCGGATTCTTCCCAACTTTCACGTGCCATTAAATCATAGGATGTTGACATTCTTGATGATTCTTGACCAGCATATAGCTGAATATACGAAATAAATTTATTAATATAAATATAATTTTTATAAAAAAAACTTGTCATATTTATAAAAAATTTTCTCACAAAATATACATTTAATATTGATTTAAATCTTTCAAAGTTTAATCTAATTACACTCAAATTACTTGTTGAAATATTTACATATCTATTTAATTCTAATGTAAAATATTTATAATTATATCTGTACATACCTGCCAAGCAGACTGTTCTGTATAGCCATTGCTTTCTTGTTCTGATAGTTCACCTCTGGGTGGCATGGTTTCATCAGCTCTCATATTAATACTTTTAACTTCTTCATCTATACCTACTCCACCTTCACTACTTGCCATAGATTGCTGGCTGGTTCCGCTAACTGCTTTTTGTGAAGAATCACTTATGAATGTACTAGGAACTAAGATTTGAAGCCCATCAAATTCAAATACATTCATTGGGCCTGCATGGGCATCTTCATTTAAACTAAGAAGTTCCACAGATTGCTTTTGTATAATTGATTTAGATGAATGAAAACTCTTTGAGTCAGAGTTACTTGCAACATCACTAGATTCTGATAAATTTACATAATTATTACTTTTACTTGGTATATTATATGATTCCATTGATGTTGATTGCTGAGAATGTTGTGAATGAATAGTAGAAAATGAACTCATGTGGTCACTAATTCCAGATTGATATGCAGAATCTCCTTCCACTTTCTTCTCATTTTTGCATAAGGAAAGTTCTGATTGATCAGCTTTTATATCTTGTTCAATCAATGAACAATCGATAGGATCCTTTTCTGGTGATTCGTTCATTGCTACGTCAGTTTCTTCATCATGGTCTATACCGTTAGTATCCATATGACAAAATGAATGCACCGAAGCAGGTGAACATGGTTTACTAAGATCCTTTCTAACCCTTAATACAGAAATACCACTACTTGCAGACAGTGGAGTATGAGATCTAAAATTATCAGTATTCTCACCATATTTAATGAAAGGAGTATGTGGACTAAGTATTTCTTCAATTTCCATATCTGCCTCATCAAAATTATCTTCTGTTCCATTATTTTCATCTTCATCTTCTTCATCATGCAATGTGTTTGTATCAAAACCAATTGAATAAAAATTGAGACGTTCACTTGAACTAAACTCTGAACGAACAGAGTAAGTTCTACGTGATTTCCTTTCTACAACAGGCGATGCGGGTGCAGACAAACTGTTTTTATAATGGTATGAAAGACAAGAAGTTTTATTTTCATCATTATCTATATCAATTTCTGAAGTTTGATTAACTTGTACTTTTATATCAGATTTACAAGTGTTTTCATATTCAATGGGATTATTAGTGGTTGTTTCATGTATTACACTTTTGGCCCTTTCAGGAGAAGGACTTTTCTTTGTATCTTTACTTTTCTTTTTATCATCCGCAAAATTGGATTCTTTCTGTGTATTATTAAATTCATTCTCCATAATAGTGATTAAAAGACGTTCTAATTGTTCTACTTCTGGCTGAGCTGGGGCTTTCACTGTATCTTCTAAGGGCATTTCTGCTGAGGTACCTTCATTTTCACTTATTTCTTCTCTGTGAGGAACTTTTTCAGTAGTTGTTTTTTCTGTCACATTTTCTGTTAACATTGGTGATACTTCAGGCATAATAACTTTATTATTATCATCGTCATCTTCATATCTGTGTATATATTCCTGCATTTCAGATGATTCATAATGAATAGACTTACATTGTATGTTTGTAGTAACAACACATGACGATTCTCCATCATCAATATCCGGCAATACACTCTCATCTTTATCCTCTGTAGTGATATTGACATTACAAGTAATTGCCAATGATCTTGGAATGCTATCATATTCATTTTGCACAGTATGCGGCTCTGGGGTACTTGAACTACGAGCTTCTTCTGCCTCTTGTTCTATTTGAATTGTACTATTTTCACTTTCATTTTGCTGCATAGAATTATTTTCATTTAATAATGGAGGAGAAACTGGAAGGTTGATATCTGGTAACACTTGTTCAGACTCTTGCTCAGATTCAGGTAAAATCTCAGGTAAAATTTGTTTTGGCTCGGAATTATTTACAGGTACAGCAATGGCAGTTCTATTATTTGTTTCACCAGCCATAGTCACCACTGGCCTGACTCTACCTGTATTAGGTATGGCTGTGACTGGTGAAATCATTTGAACAGTTGGTATTTGTTGCTGCTGATACATACTATATGGATTATACAACATTTGCATCATTTGATTAGCTTGCGGAGCCATTGCGTATTGGGGTATCATCATAGTGCCATTATTTACAAATTGTTGATAACTAAATGAAGCAAATTGAGGTGGCATCACAGTACCAATAGGCGGACACTCGAAAATAGGTCCTATAGGATATGGAGATTGAGCCGATAAGTGAGTATTCTGCGCAACTTGAGGTGTACTTTGGGGTGATTGCATAGCCGGTGATGCTGGAGGTGCCGATGATGATAACTGCGTCTGTTGCACATTCGAGGAGTTAGTACTAGCTTTGATAAGAGCTTCAATGACTTGTTCTTTTGGATGAGTGTCCAAATGTCTTTGTAGGCTGATACCCTCGCGTAAATAGAGGGTACAGACAGGACAAGCCACTGCACTACCCGAAGCTCCATTGCTTGTTGCATCCATTGTGTTTGAGGTATTTTGTTTATACATTTGACTTCTCAACAATTACATTGAACACAATCAATGCAATGACATTCTCTGTAAAATATCCACGATGATGTAGTAACACCACTTTTTCCTTTTTGTAATTGACGTCTTTGCCGTTACTGCCGTTACTATCGAATTCGTCGTATCTGTCGTGATTACCTTTCTGTTCGTCTTTGCTGTCTTTTTAATTGCAGTCGTTACCACCGCCGACGCCGTCACCGCCGCCGTCGTCGTCGTCGTCGTCGTCGTCGTCGTCGTCGTCGTCGTCGTCGTCGTTGTCGTCGCCGCCGTCGTCGGTGTCGGTGTCGGTGTCGGTATCGGTGTCAGTGTTGTCGTTGTCGCCGCCGCCGCCGTCACCGCCGCTGCCGCTGCCGCCGTCGTCGTCGGTGTCGTCGTCGTCGTCGTCGCCGTCGCCGTCGCCGTCTCCGTCGCCGTCTCCGTCGCCGTCTCCGTCTCCGTCTCCGTCTCCGTCTCCGTCTCCGTCGCCGTCGTCGTCGTCGTTGCCGTCGCCGTCGTCGTCGTCGTCCTCGTCGTCGTCGTCGTCGAGGCCGCCGCCGCCGTCGCCGTTATCGTTGTAGTCGTTGCCGTTTTGATCGCCGTCGTGATGGTCGTTATGATCGTAATAGAGTGTAATCGTTGTAACCCGTAATTTAACTAATATCGTTAACACATATCGCCAATGACTGGCTGCATTTTGGGCTTTATCAGGCCTTCAAGCACATTAGAGCACGGCATATGTACGGCCGACACGTTGCACCAGGCAGTGCCCCAAAAATATCGACGTTCATGGCTACCTGGTTCGTGTGTGCGATGGAGCCAGCAAGGCAGTCGCGGACAAATCAATATCCTATTAAATCGCCAGCCTCCCCTGCTCTTATTAAATTACACTTGCACTGTTTACACACGTTTACGGTACAGCACCTTTCTCAAACCTAAGTAGAACAACTTCTTTTAAGAGCCTTTTGTTTCTCATTCGATTATCGAAACGGCATGTTTTTCGTCCGATTCCAGCCTAAAAACACAACAGAAAACAGTGACGAGTAGTATTCCACCTTAGAATGAGAACAACAAGAAGTGTTACTATGAGTAGAGCGCCCCCTTGTACACTGTTCTATTAGCTACAATGTTCTAAGGCTACCGATTATAAAATGATAGTTTCCCTTTTTACCGACCCTTTTAAATAATGTTTTGTATTTCTAAAAATATTACACTATACTTATCTAGAATTATTATATAATTTCATCGTCATTTAATTTATACATGCGTATATGATTTATATTATTTTTTACATCTAAATGGAATTTTCTGCAATTCCTGCATATTTCCTGTATCGCTTTTGTATCTTTTTGAAATTTATATTTATATTTCTTTTTTCGATATTTTACAAGGTTCAAGTATTTATTTAATATTTTATGATATTTTTTGATGAATGAACAACCTTTAATAAATCACATTATCCAAGTAATTGTTATTAATATTATAATACAGTTTAATATTTCTTTGTATGATATTATAATTGTATTATTAATGTATGGTAGATGAATATATCATAAAATATCTTTATTTTACTGTAATAAGAATGCTTCTAATTTCTTGTAATGAAAAATAATAATAATACTGAAGTAACACCGTAATTTTTCAATAATAATCGGCTCACTATATTTTATTTATCTATGGTTTCGATTAAGCATGCGCAGGCGCATATAATGTGAACATCTTGTGTTGATCACGTTGGTTAATATCTAGATCATAGATCTTACGTTATTTAATGCTAAATAATACTTATATTTACATACAATTACAAGTCAATCAATATGTAATAATTTATATTTAAATTAGAAACTATTTTTTTACTTGAAAAAATTACATGAATTAGTCAAGTTAAAAATACTGCATCACAAATGTAAATGGTTTATTTCAATTTATATTTTTTAATTTTGTTTTAATGCAAAATTGTTTTAGCATTAAAATATATGTATTATACTTTTAATATAATTACTATCGTCATTTAAGTAATGTAACTTGAATTTGAATGAGTACATATAAGACAACAACAATGAATAATCAATGGAAAAAATATTTATTTTGGTTTGCTCAAGAACATATTGATTTTCGCACAGCTGTAAGTAACTTTTTATTCGATTCATTTAATTTTGATTTGTCTGTTCCATATAATTTTTAGATTCTTTTCAGGAAATACAGTCTATTTTATCTATGTTTGGTGTAAATATTTATACCTATCCTAAATTAGAAACACATGTAAGAAAATATAATTATTACAATAATATAATTTGATATATTTATTTATGCAAATAATTTTTATTATAGCCTTATTGGATAGTTAATTTACCCTCAGAGAAGCTAGTGCACAACATTGCAAGTAGAGCAGTCTGTGTGCGATTTTGTATGGAACTATGGGCTAATAGTAAACAAGCTGAAGATCTGCATAATAAGTTAAAAACTTATTCAATTTCAGAAATTAAAAAATATGCTGGACCACATAAATCCTTTAAAGTAATAGTTGAAACATTTTGTAAACACTTTTCACAACGTGAAAAAGTAAATAAAATTGAAGTAAGTGGCCTAATTATATTATGTTTATAAATTAATAAATAAATTATATAAAATTTTAATATTTTATAATAAATATAGTCTTTCAGTTATTTACCATTGGAAGGATCAGTAAGATTAAATGATCCAGACACAACATTCTATTATATAGAATTTTATGGATTAGATCCTAATAACATTCCTAAAGAACCATATGAATTATTTTTTGGTAGATGGGTAGGTATATTATATTATATTGTACATCATATATATGTTACATTTTATGATGAAATTTTAGATTACAAGCGGACAAAGAGATTTAATTCGAAAGTTGTCACTGAAAACTAGAAAATTTATTGGTAATACATCTATGGATCCTCAATTATCATTGATAATGACTAATCAGGCACAAGTTCAAAAAGGAGATATTGTTCTTGATCCATTTGTTGGTACCGGATCTCTATTAGTTGCTGCTTCTCATTTTGGAGGATATACATTGGGTACAGATATAGATTTTTTAATGCTTCATGGGCGTACAAGACCTACTAGAATATCACAAAAGGTAAAGAATTTATTTTGCTTATGCTGAATAATATTATTAAATTATTACCAAAATAATGGCCAGATTAGAGAAAAAGATGAAAATATTGCTACAAACATGAGTCAATATGGGAAAAGATCGTACTATATTGATGTAGTTGTATCAGACTTTTCTTACCCTTTATGGCGTTCTGATATGTGTATAGATGCTATAATTACTGATCGTAAGTATTATTTTCGTTCATTACAAACCTTACTAGAAAAATCTTATTTTATATCTTTATTAATTGCAGCTCCTTATGGTATTAGAGAAGCAACAGAAAGGATAGGTACAACTAAATTAAACCCTGTGATAGAGGAACATCAAGCTTCATCTCATATACCATCAAAAATTGGTTATGATTTACCTCAAATGTACAAGGATTTACTGACATTTGCAGCCAAACATCTTAAATTAAATGGTAGATTAGTATGTTGGTTTCCTTTATTTAGGTAAGTCAAAAATTGTTTATCAATATTATAATATTTATTTTTCTAGAATAAAATACAAATTATTATTTAGAGATCAATATTCAGAGGATCAGTTACCAACACATCCCTGTTTGGAACTAGTAGCTAATTCAGAACAAGTACTTAGTAACTATACTAGTCGCAGATTATTGACTTACAAAAAAATAAAAGATCCAAAGGTATGTGTAAAAAATTATTTTATACAATTATTAGTAAAAGTATCTAAAAAGTAATTTGATCAATATTCTTAATTTTTTTCAGGAATCAGATGAAATCAGTTCCACTAACTTGATCGATTTCCGAGAAAAATATTTTGCATTACGAAATGAAAGTAGAAGAGAAAAACGAATGAAAAAAGCTGTAGAAAAAGCAAAGAATAGAGAACTTTGGGAACAGAATAATAAAGAAAATCCAAAAAGATGATTGTGATTATTTTACGTGTAACAAACATTTATTTTCCTTCAAATTCGTGTTTGAGAATATAATTTTTGTTGAACTATTTTTTTTTTCTTTCATACGCATTTTAAAGAATAAAATACATGTGCGCAAACATATAATAGGTTTAGAAGAAAAAATTCTGAACCAGGAATAAAACCATTTTTAACATTTTGTAGAGATGATTAAGAAAATAACGGACTTTTTTTCAGTAATATTATTTTTTTACTAACTGATCTTTAAAATTATTTAATTAGCAAATAATGCTTTACTGTGTTTTATACAGTAAACATCTTACTATATAAATTTACTTGACACATTAAAAGAAACTTGTCAAAAAGATCTGTATTAAATAATAAATTATATATATGCGTGTAAATTGCAAGGAATGAACAATAGTACATTTACATATATTACAGTATTTAAACATATACATACACATAAATTTGTATATCTAAACTTCGAGTTGCAATTGTCCTAGTAATCCTTCGAGTGCTTTGATATCTTCATCTGATACTTTTGATTCATATTGTTTTTCAATTTGATTAGCTGCCCATTCACTTAATTTTATTGCATCTTTCTTTTTAGAAGACGGACATTTAGGTGATGTAGCGATATTATTTGTTGCCTGTAAGTTTAAGCTTGCAGTAAAAGTGTAAGGCCACAATGAAATTTTCTTTTTTTAAAATTTCGGTTCTTACCAATAGCAAACCATACAAAGCTCTGATGTTATTTGGATTTAATCTTGCAGCTTGACAAAAGTATGCTTTTGCCAATTCCATATTTTCGAATCCACCCTAAAAACGAGTGAATATTTATTAATTTAGTGAAATTTAAATTTCGAATGTTTCTATGTGAAAAATATTACCTGAGAATATTTTATTTCTGCATATCTTTGGTAAATTAAATGACTATGTGGATTATGCAGTATAAGTTCTTCCATACAGAATGCAGCCTTAGAATATTCTTGTTCTTGTAAATATAGGTCACATAATTCATGCCACGCTTCTTGATCACTCATAAATCTGTAGTAAATAAAAAATGTAATTGATGTATTTTAATTAGAAATTTAAAATATCAAAAAAAAATATCACTTAAACACAGACTTTTTTAAATATTCTGTGAGCTCTTTAATAGCTTCTGATATTCGACCTTTTGCTTTTAATATAGCTACACGCCTTTTTCTTGGTGCTGCATTTGTTTCATCTCTCTTTACAATAGAATCCAGAACTTCTAATGCTTCATCATACCTACAAATATAATTAATTTCTTTTGTATGATATAAAGGTATGATATAATTGTTACATAACTGTTTCATAAACAATTGTTACAATTCCAAAGCTTCCAGATGCATGGCATAATATTTATGGACTCTTAAACTGCTAGGAAATGCTCTTTTTAGTATCTTAATGCAATATTCTGCTACATCATGACGAGCACAATCCAATGCAGCTATACAGACTTGTTCCAAAACCAGATATTCTATTTAAAAGTTACAAAATTATTATAGAAAGATATTTAAGATATTACAGAAAAATTTAATATATCATAAGAAAAATATTTTATGAAAAATCGATTCGTCATACTCTCACTGCCAAGTTGATCAATTTTTGCCATTAATTTGGATTCCCACAAATCAACTACATCTTTACTTCTTCGTTCACTATCTTCTCTCCATGTTCTGAACAGCTCTCTTACTTCTATATATATAAAAATTTAAAAAATATATCAAAACATTAATGAATTAAATTTTAAAATTATAAATGATTAAACTATACACTTCACTAACTCACCTCTCCATGACAATTTATCATACTGATCAGCCATTGTTGAAGCTTTAAAAAAACGACGACATAAATAATACATATAAAATTTTATAGAACGTATTAAATAATATTCAATGTATGAAATAAGTATGATCATGTGCAAACATGAGATATAAGGTTAACTAATTACATTTTAAAAGAATTACAATTTTATACAATTTGAAAAATATTTCTTAAACATCACAAATTTCATATAAACATTTTACACATATTATACAAATAATATAATACATATCAAGTATACGAATTTGCGAATACATTGTATGTTCTTTGTTATAACCTAAATAAATGAAAGACCAAATATCAAAGAGTATGTGTTAAACTAACGAAAAAAATAGTAAAATAAAGTGTAAAAGAATACAAAAACAAATATGTATTTAAATGTTAATAACCATTAGCTGCAGTACACAAATTTGACACAAATTTAAAATTGCAGTGTAATAATTCGTGCAATGAGACTTTAGAACATAAAATATTACAGGTATTTCAAACTTACGTAAAATTAAAAACGAGTTTATAATAAAATATTGACTAAAATCAATGTACACGTAGCCCTAAATTAAATCGATCATGTATAATACACAGGTACTTCGAACGAATTCGAAGAGGGATCAGAAACTAATTCAAGGCTACATGGGCAATTATTCAGTAAGAAATTTGAAATGCACGTCATCTTTTTAAAATCATAAAATAAATGAAAAGTATAAGAAATGACATGTAGGGTATAGCGTGTTATAAAAATATGCAAGTTTTTATTGTTATCATCGTTTTTGTTATCACGTTGCTGTGTTAAAGAAAAAATAATGAAATCGCATCAAGCGTGCGAATAGCTGAGAACATTGTTTTTTAAATAAATAAAATTTTTAAATAATATTTTAAAAATACTCAAAATATTATAATTGGTATATTAATTGCATTTATACTTTATGAAATATGAATTATCGCGAATAAACAAATATTTGTTTGTCAATAGAGATATAACGATATAAATATTATTTATGCACGTGCTTGATAAATGCAATAGGAATGTAATTTTCAACTTATCAAAGCTACGTTTCATTTAATCTTTAAATATTCTAATTATATTTTTTTTTTTTTCCTCACAGCTGATTTGACAACATACGTACATATGTATGCTTTGAGAATACTACACTTTGACATTTATGTATATGTCGAGTAAGTTTGCTCTACTACTAGCGGAAAATTTTCAACTAATGATTATTTTAAAACCGAAAGAATAATTTTATTCGAATGTATAGGATCAACGTTCGAACATCGAAATTGAAATTGCAATCAGTTCAATTCGTATAGTTCCATTCGATAAAATAGAGAACGTGTCAGAGACGCTTGGACGCCATGATGGTAGGTGGAACCTGTTATCACTTATCCACTGATCTGTCTTTTCAACGAATTTAATACCGTGCAGTTTAAGTTTTGCTTTGCTATACACACTTTATACACAGTAGTTAATTTAAAAAAATGTTTCAGGACGGTATATGTGATACTGCTGACATTTTAAATAACGTTCCTCCCAAAAAGGTACATTAATTTCATTCTTGTTTCTTTTTCTATATTATACTAAATAATATTTAATAGGAAATTGAATTCATTTTCCGCGCTTGAAATTATCGTTTGCATTTTGTTAATTTTATCGTTCTAATTATGGGACTTTATATTGCAGACAATTCATACTGACAATGTAGACCTCTCTGACAAGTCATTACAAGTAGATATTTCGGATGCTCTTAGTGAAAAGGATAAAGTAAAATTCACTGTACATACGACAACTACATTGCCAGAATTTCAAAAGCCAGATAACCTAGTTGTAAGGCAACACGAAGAGTTTGTATGGTTACATGACCGATTTGAGGAAAATGAAGAGTATGCTGGTTATATTGTATGTTTATCTGCTTTCTTCTCTGTACTGTATAATTGCAATTTTCCAATAATGGACTGGAAAAATATATTTTTTAGATTCCTCCTTGCCCACCACGACCAGATTTTGACGCATCTCGTGAGAAATTACAAAAACTTGGAGAGGGTGAAGGTAACATGACACGTGAAGAGTTTAATAAAATGAAACAAGAATTGGAAGCGTAAGCTATACATATAGATATTAAAATATATTTCAGTTATGTTAAAATTATAAGTTTACATATTTATATATTTACAGTGAATACCTGGCGACATTTAAAAAAACTGTTGCAATGCACGAGATGTTTCTAACTAGACTGGCACATCATCCAGTTTTTCGTAATGATCATAATTTAAGAGTGTTCTTGGAATATGATCAGGATCTTTGTGTAAGAGGTAAAATTCATATTTATCTTTAGAAAGAAACTTTCGTATTATGTAGCATGAATATAAATTTTTCGTTTCTTTCAGGAAAAAATAAAATGGAAATGTTTGGTGGTTTGGTAAAGTCATTTTCTACTACGACAGATGAATATTATTTGTCTGCAACAGTGAAAGATGTAAATGATTTTTTTGATCAAGAAATGTCATTTTTACAAACCTATCATCATAATTTAAAAGAAGCAACAGCTCGTTCAGATCGGCAGACTGCCAAGCACAAAGACGTAGCAGATTCATATATTAAAATTTCCACAAATCTTTTGCAATTAGCTACAACTGATACTGGTAAATTGGAAAGATTTTTAACAAAAATAGCAGAAATGTTCGAGAAGTTAAGGGTAAGATTTATTTTAAGGTTTTTTTAGTTTATTTGATTTATTTCTTCATATTATTTATACTTATAATGTTGTAATGTAATAGAAAGTAGAGGGACGAGTAGCATCTGATGAAGATTTAAAATTGTCAGACACTCTGCGTTACTATATGAGGGATACAGCTGCAGCCAAACGGCTTTTGTTTAGAAGATTAAAAGCTTTACACGCGTATGAATCTGCAAACCGTGCTCTTGAAAAAGCTCGTGCCAAAAACAAAGATGTTCACGCTGTAAGTATATTATGTCAAACATATTGTAATCATATTATTGTGATATTTGTAACAAATGGGTTACTTCAATCATCAAATATAGTATGTATATATATGTATATGTATATGCATATGCATATGTATATGTATATACTATATATCTAACTAAGGATTTAATTTTTTTGCTCATCAAGGCAGTGGAAGTTGCTGAGGTGTGTTTTTTCCCATTTGTATGTTTGCCGCCTTGTTGTAGTGCATAATTTAAACATCATTTTTCTACAAAACTAAGCTGCATTACTTTTACGAGCAATGTATAGAAATATTTTCACAAGGTTAATATAGTCATCATGTATTGGAGAAAAAGGGAGAGATCAAAATTAATGTGAATGTATTTTAGATTATTTAATTAAACATGCATGAAATAAATTTGCATGAATGTTTTTTTCTTTATTTAATTTAAAAGGGAAGAATATTAAAAAATACTACAATAAAAAAATGTTGAAAAGGCATATTTTATTAATACAATTGTGAAAAATACATGCTATGTAATTATTCAAAATATTGCATGTTTTTTAAATAATACCTTTATTAAAAAAGATTTACGAAAGTGTTTGAGATTGGTAATGTTATGTATTTTTATGGAGTATATAATTATTTTTGTTTATTTAGGCGGAACAAGCTCAAACAGAAGCCTGTGAAAAATTTGAGCAAATGTCAGAAAAAGGAAAAGAAGGTAAAAAAATAATACACATGTATCTTTACGTCTTACTTTAATAAACAATTACAATGATGTAAATAACGTATAAATTTTTATTATAGAATTGACAGATTTTAAAACGAGGAGAGTAACTGCTTTTAGAAAGAATCTGATTGAATTAACTGAACTTGAAATAAAACATGCAAAAGTAAGGATACTTTTATTCTATTTTCACATATAATTGTTCATTGTTTTAAAAATATTTCCGTTTACAGGCACACGCGGAATTGCTCAAAAAGTGTTTAACTGTCTTACGAGAAGAGTGATCCAATTTTATAATTTTTATTGTGAAGATTACTGTGTAATCTATATGAAGATAACAATCTATTTAAAATTATAGCAATGTAATGGTATTGTAAAATATATATTTTTTGTTATCTAGATTTATATCATCTGAAAAAAAATCGTATCATTGATTACAGGAAAACACCATATAAAATTAATTTGTATTGTTTAATTAATTTTTAAATTATGAAAATTGATGTGTATATGTTATAATTGTTTATGCTTAAAAAATAGTTACTTCTTTTTATATCGTTTTTTTAAAAAAATTATTTCATACAAAATAATATACTGGCTCTTATTGAGTTCTTTTGTAGGTTTATATTAATCTATTACCAGCTACAAGATCTTTTCCATTTTATACATAATAGTGTATTTTAGTGAAGTAGAAAATACGAAAGTGATTAGGAAATAAGAGACTCGTGATGTGAAAATAAGATAACTCAGCACCATGTATATATATATTTTTGAAAAAAATTACCTGCAAAAAGTTGAACATTTTATAAAAGTCACAAAATGCAAATATCTAACAAATATTAAAACTTTTATGTATACAAAATGTTGAAACATTAAATACTGTAGAAAACGCTATAATAGAAACTTATAGCGTTTAGCAATTATATTGATGTTTTATATCGATTATTTCGTTTTTTATTTTATTATTAATTATTAAGAATATTAAGATATATCTTTATTTAAGGGATCTTTTATTTCCAAAATTTATCACATTTTGTGAAATGTATGTAAAATTTTTGAAAGAAACCCTGAGGCTTAAAACAATGGAGCGATTGTTTGTTTCTGTAAACAGCGATAAAAGAAATGTTATTTCAAATAACATATAGATTAATATGTCAAATCAATTTACAAAATTTTGTTTATTCAATAAAATTACATAAATATAATTATGATTAAAGGAATCTTGAGATTAGATGATTAAATATGATTTGATTACGGGCATTTATTGATAGAATCGTCAAAGTTTGCCAAATATAAAAATCAAAAGGGAATAAAAATAATTGAAACGAGAAAAGTAAATATGCAGATAAAGATTTATGATTTTATTGATTTGAAATATTCTCGATATTGCAAACTGAGAAAATCGTCGAATAAAATTTATTACTTAAATTCTTAAGGATTAATTTAAAGCATCGTCATAGTGATCTATATGCCATTTTAATTTAATATTGATAAATCATATATCTCAGAATTTCAATTAGATTGTTAGTCATTCACGCAATGATTTTCATCTTAAGTTATCACATATATGTATATTAAAACATAAATTTTGCGTATATCGTTTTGTATTATTTTATATCAAAAAAGATTGATAACAACCCATCTTTAATAAATATTTCACGGGGTATATTTATTGTTACACATCGAATGTTTATGGGATAATAATATTGAATCTTTTTGAAGGTTTTATACCAATGAATGCTAAATGAATCTATATTTTTTTGACTAGATTTTTGCTCTTACGATAGGATGTTTCTTAAATCAAAAGAATTCGTTTGTTAGCGGTGATCAATAAGTAAGAGAATTCAAAACTAAATTAAAAACTCTTAATTTAATTCTGTATTTTTAATAGAATGCTGAAAAAAAGTTAAATTTCTAGTTTACACTATGTGGTGTAAAAAATCAATCTAAACTAAAGACTATACCGCATCTATAATATACACATACATAATAAATATACTCGTATGTTTAATTTTGTAATAAATTTAATTTTAAACATTTCGAAATACTCGGTTTCTTTCCTTTTTTTTTTTTTTTTTTTTTTAAGCCGAAAAGAAGAAAACGAAATAAATACCAAGAAGACTGTTTTCCTTTTCTTCCGAATGCTGAATTTAATTATCCGATTCGTCGTGAATAAGGAGAAAATATTTGTCAACGAAGTGTATACTTGCGAGATTTAAGAAGATAATAACAAGGCTCACCTGCTCTTCTCCCGAAGATAATGCAACCTGGTTCTTAACCAGGGATATCCTGGCGTTGTTCTCCTCTGAGGTGCAAAAAAATGAGATCCAGAAAAAGGGACGCAGGGATAATGGTACAATTTCAATATAGAATCTCTACCTGTTATATTTCATCAATCCACTTCCAACAACCTGAAAGGGACAATCGAAGACTGATCAGTCCCCTCGTTGAATCGTTACTCTTTCCTCTCTTCGTTCTCCTCGAGGATCTTCAACTCGAGCCAGAGACGATCGGTCGTGAATCGAACCCGGTTCAAGGGATCCGGGGATCTTAAGAAGAAAAAAAGAAAAAAAAAAGAAAAAAAAAAATTGAGAACTCCTAAGAGCGCCAGTGAACGCTATCTCGGGCTAAAGGATTCTGCAACTTTATTAAGATTCGTTGAAGATTTCCCCCCCGAACGAACTCGTCCTTGGTGTTTCGTCAGATCACAAGGAAAACCATTGAGAGAGCAGTGCGATCGTTCTCTCGTTTCTTCTCGGTTCTCTTTGCTCTTTTTCTTTTTTTCCCTCGTTTGGCGATAGACGTCAAAGCGGAAGTAAAGCCGGCAGAAAACTCGCAGCATTTTCCACGTTGGTTTACGAACGAACGAAAAACTAGTTCCTCCCTCCGCGAAAGAGGGAACGCTTCGCTAAATGTTTATCGATCGGCTTTACTTGGTTTGACACGGTCTGATGAAACTGTTTCGTACGGATATTCACGTACGTTCACGAACAAACTTTCTTCTCTACGCTCTCGACGAGCTTTTAATTGAAACGACTTACCGCAGATGCTTATTGCCATATTATTGCACAATCAATGAACTAAGAATTCATCTTTCACACGGTCTGGGGTCCTCGCCGTACAGGCAAATTTTGTGAAGCAATTTCTCCTTTTCGTCGAGGTGCTCTTTCTCACATTCGATCGACGTTTCATATAATGTATATATATATATTTATATATTTATATATTATATGCATATGTACCGTTAATACACGTAAATCTTCTCTTGCTCCTGAAACCGTCTACAAACGAGCTGTATAATTTGCTTTATAATTAGGACGACGTTAGTTGGTCTTTTATAATAATCAGACTTATATTACACGCATATGCAATCACGCACGCAGCAACACGCACGTGCAGACTTCGGAAACTGAAAGATATTGTCCTTATCGAAGACCTTAACGAAGACACAATTGCTACGGTGGTTCGGAGATTAGGTATATGTATTTCTATATTCCTTTCATTTTCCTTTCCTCTCTCCCTCTTCTTCTTTTTTTTCTTTTTTCCCCTCCTTCGAGTCCTCTATCTCTATATTCGTGGTTTATGAAAATTCGACAGAGTGTAATACACAGAGACACTAAAGACTCGATATTTTATATTGTGGATTTTTATTAAAATTCAGTTTCAACGGATCTTGCGAATAAATGAGAGGGCACAATTGATCGACAAGAAAAGAAAAAAGGCGGGTGAACAGCAACGTTTTTAAACAACGTAGGAAAGTTATTTCCCCGTTTTTCTTTTCTTTCTTCGTGGTTCACTCACCGTGTGTTTGCATGTGTGTACGTGTACGTGCCTGTGTTCCCAGTTACGCAAAAAAAACGTTCAATTAAAAAAGTGTGATAATTAAAGAGAGAAACAACGAATCAAACGGCTCTCGACTACCTCGATGAAACCTTGATGCCGATCTTTAAGTTCATCTTTCACACAACGACGAAACTCAACTCGGGCATCGTTGATGCACAATACAGAGTACGGCGACGCTGAAGTAATACAGAGATTTTCTATGGCAGATACACTATATCGATGTACTGGAGACGTACACACGTGGAACGCGTGAAAATTCCGCGACCGAATTGTTTCCAAGTATTAAAGTCTTATCGTTTAATTATAATCCTACTGATCTTACGTCTCTATTAAACGTGTTGCTTAACTTCGAAAGAGATCAAGGGCCATCAAATTTCTCGTTCGCTCTCTATTTCTCTTGCACGTGTTTCGTTTACCCTCCGGATAAGATTCAGAAAACGAGACTGGCGATCGAAGAATGAACTCTCAAACGTTCCCCTCGGTCGCTCGATCCTTGTACGAACGCGTACAATGTCTTCCTCGATAAATCGCGATAAATCTGAGTTATTAAACGATTGACCAGTTTTTTTTTCAGCTCTTTCTCTCTCTCTCTCTCTCTCTCTCTCTCAAAATACATATCTCGATGCGTTCGAACGGGATTAAATTAATAAAAAGAGGGGAGGAGGAAGGGAGAGACATAAACACGTTCCTCGAGTAATTTTCGTTTTGCGAGTAATTTGCGGAAACGAGTGAATGAATCGATCGAATCAAGAGTTCGTGTGTTCCTGCCTTCTTTTATTATTACTTTCTCCCCTCAGACCTCGTCTCCACGTTTCTTTGTCCAATCGATAGCGGTGTCACGCGATACGCACGCGATTCTGTTCACGTGAATCGTTTATATATAAGGAATAAGAAATTAGAATAAGAAAACTTCGACATATATGTATATATATATGTGTATGTGTGTGTGTATATTATTATACGTACTTTATATTATGTAATATAAATATATTATATTTATAATATATTTAGTATTATACTATATTTATAGTATAATATATAGTGCGTATGTTACTATACGTACTTTAAATTATATAATATAAATATACTATATTTATAGTATAATATATAGTACGTATATTATTATATGTACTTTATATTATATAATATAAATATGCTATATTTATAATATATTTAGTATTATACTATATTTATAGTATAATATATAGTACGTATATTATTATACGTGCTTTATATTATATAATATAAATATACTATATTTATAATATATTTAGTATTATACTATATTTATAGTATAACATATAGTACGTATGTTACTATACGTACTTTAAATTATATAATATAAATATACTATATTTATAATATATTTAATATTATACTATATTTATAGTATAATATATAGTACGTATATTATTACACGTACTTTATATTATATAATATAAATATACTATATTTATAATATATTTAGTATTATACTATGTTTGTATTATAATATGTAGTACGTACATTATTATACGTACTTTATATTATATAATATAAATATACTATATTTATAATATATTTAATATTATACTATATTTATAGTATAATATATAGTACGTATATTATTATATATTATATAGTATGTATATTATTATACGTACTTTATATTATATAATATAAATATACTATATTTATAATATATATAGTATTATACTTACTATTATATTATATTAGTACGTATTAATATACGTACTTAATATATGACACACACACACACACACATATATATATATTCAGAGTTTCTACAGTACGCAGATTTGTAAAATCACAAACAGTTGTAAAATCGAAATGAAACGTTTTAGCCCCTAAAGCAGGTCTCGTTACGTCAAACGGTATGGCAGTTCCTCGGTTGCCCTGGATTTTATCAAACATCTCCCGCTGTACGTTTCTACGTATACAACACTTGTCGTTTTTGATCCCTGTTTTTTTTTTTTTTTTTTTTTTTTTTTTTGTAACCTTTCATCCGCATTTTAAGTTCCTCGGCTCACGTGACTCCTTCCATACATTCCGTTCTCCAAAATCGAACTCTCCCCACTTTCGGCGACAGAGGTTTCATTTTCTCGCGACACGTTGAAACAGATCATCAAGTCGAAAGTGCAGACGAAATGTTGGTAACAAACTGTACGCAAACAGCCTCTACGGAGAGTCGAAAAGTTGCGTAAGAAAAAGAAAGAAAAGAAAGAAAAGGAAAATCTCTCGAGCCTTCTTTTCTTCAACGCTCGAAAAGGAAACTTCTTTCATTGCTCGTGGCTTGTTTCGAACGAAGGATAATCAAGCATGATACACACATGATGCTTTATATTACACGAACACACCTTGGGATGGATCGACTGAAATTTTGGCAGTTTTCAGAATCAAACGATCGGAAAGTGAGTCGATATATGTCGGAGATGGATTGCGACGCGCTTGCCTCTTACGCTTCTCAACTTTGTATCATTTGCCTCTGTTCGTACACTCGCGAATATGTAACACGCGTTACATAAAACAAATTCTCATTCTCTGAGGAACAACAGAAGGAATTATACCCGCGAACAGTGATTCTTTCTCAGCGATGTGTTTGCGCGTTTCGTTGTAACAATCGATCTCAATCGCAACGAGTAACACAAGAAACGCACACGTGGAATATCGAGATCGACCACGCGATTACAGGTTGCATGTGTACGAAACTACAAAAGGGTAGGCTAGATTCGCGCCGGATAACGTGGAATTGAAACGTCCTGAGAGGTGATTAATTGCGAGAACGTGGAATGAGAATCGAGCCGGAAGGGCCGAAGGTTGTTAAAACGTGTCTGTGTATGTGTGTGTGTGTGTGTGTAAAGTATCCCGCGAATTCGTTGCGATATTCGGTAACATCGTTCGCCATCTCTTTTTCTTTGAAACTCTGATTCACCATCGGCCGCCTTTTCGATCAACTCGCGCCTGTTGCTGTTCAACAACTGGCTTGTCGGATACATTCTGTGCCACAACGTGCAACTGTCTTTCACTCATCGTTCTGAATCTGGCTCTGGTTCTGGTAATTCCCTCGAGAGGAGATAAATCTAAATTGACATGATTGCCGCATGGTTTCGTATTGCTATCGAAGAATATCGATGATTATAGTTCTTTCTTTCTTTCTTTCTTTCTTTCTTTCTGCCTTCCTTCCTTCTTCTTTTTATCGAGAAACGATTGGTGTGCCGCCGGTTTTCGAAAAGACTTCAATATGTGTGTGTGTGTGTGTGTGTGTGAAAGCAAGAAAGAGTTCGCAGTTTATATATGTATATATATATAAAAACATGACACGATCACAGATCTTTTGGTTTTCAAAATATGTAGTTTAATTTAATGACAACGTCGTTACGCCGGTGAAAACAAGTTATGAACGACGCGAAGAACAGAAGTCAAGAACGTGCACTACGAACGACAAGATCTCTATTCTTTTTTTTTTTTTTTTTTTTTTTTATAATCGCGTACATAAAATTTATTGCACTTTGATTCGTTCCCTTTGGTGGATCAACTAAAGACATGGGTCCAACTTCTATCACGATCGGACGCGACTGTCTCGCGTCTGTGATTTTTTGCTCGCGCGTTTCGTTTATGCTTATTATATATATAATAATAAATATTTATTAATATATATGTACGTGTGTATAATAATTATTATTATTTATAATAATAAATATTTATTAATATATATATAAATAAATATATATATATATATATTACTAAAACATTTTTAAATAATTATAAAATTATATTATTAAATTATTAAATTATTCGACAATTATACTATCGATTCTTTCTCCCCGCGCGCGAGCAAGCATGACTGGCAATTGTTCGAAATTATTATCTGATACTTCTGCATAGAGGAAGAGGCAGATCGGACGAAGTTGGATACAGGAGAGAAGGGGCGAAATAGAGAAAGAGAAAGAGAGAGAGAGAGAGAGAGAGAAATTACGATTACTCGCGAGTGTAATTTGTGTGTAATTTCGACCATGCGTTGATGAACACGTGGACACTACCATGAAAATCTCGTACGTCGGAATGATCCAGCCGGCGGCAGCCTCGGCGATAAAGCAGAAAAGAAACAGTCGAAGAAGATGAAGATGAAGATGAAGAGGAACGCGAACGGAACTCGACGATTGTTTTCGAACGTAAAACTGAAGAGGAGGAAGAAGATAATGATGATGATGATGATGGAAAAGAAACAGAAATAGAAAAGGGCTGGAAAAGGAGGAGACGACGGGGTCGGAGGGGGAGGCGGGAGGTGGGAGGTGTGACGATGAGTCTCGGCGTTTAAAAGGGAAAGAAGGAGAAGGAGGGTTAAAATCGCAGAATAGTAGCCTATCTATCACAAACGGAAGTAACGGTATAATAATAATTAATGGACATATCGAAGAGAAACGCTTATCGCGTTAAAACGACCTCTATCGCAATGGTGACAATTAGTACTAGCAATTCACAGAGATTTTTCACCGCGGCCGACGTCTTGCGGCGCTGTATGGCAGCCATTTTGTCACCTGAAACAAAGTTCAAATTAATTGCAATTAGCGAAATTTGTTTAGAGAGATTTATACGTGCGTAACATACATATATATATATATATTTTTATGAATTAATTTGTTCAAAGAGATTTGCACATGTGTGTAACATATCAGTCGAAACGAGATAACACGCTGGGAGAGAAATTGAATTTCTCTCGCGCAGAGAGAGGTCTTCGCGTGAAAGAAAGAAAGAAAGAAAGGAAGAAAGAAAGAAAAAAAAAGGACGATTAATTATCCTATTGTGTCTGTAGGGTAGGGAAAAAAATTTGTTGAATTGTTGTGTACCTTCTGTGACAAAGACATAGATGGATGCCGGCTTGGTATTCGAGGCGCTGCACGTATAATTGCCTGTGTCCGATTCCACCGCATGGTGAATCGTCAGCCGACTTTGAGTCGAACTGGAATCGGTTTGTACGGTTACGCTGCTGCCTCGCGTAGTATCGTAATTTATCATTCGATTATTGTGATACCAGAAAACGTACTGCGGCGGTGTTGGACTCTGCAAAATCGTAAAAAACACATGTATTGCGCGCAGAGACGATCGCCGAGATCGTTATTCTCGCGATCTCCCTCCGAGACGATTGTTGCTTGGGTAAATTATTGTCTCAGGAGGGCCATTTTCGTTGCCCCCTTCTTTTGTTAAATCTAATCTATTGTGATATTTATTATTAATCTATTATTGTATTATTGTAATATATAATATTGTAATCTATTATTACAATATTATATATATCTGTAATATAATATTGTATTCTATTATTGTATTATTGTAATATATAATATAATAATAATATAATAATTTATTATTATATTATTATATTAATATTAATAATCTATTACTATATTATTATATTAATATTAATATTAATTTAGTTATTATATTAATATTAATAATCGATTATTATATTATTATATTTACTATTAATCTACTATTATATTATTATATTTATTAAATCTAATCTTATTATTGAACACTGAACGTGTTTTTTAAGTGATCGTCAACGCTACAATCGGTCAGTTTATTTTTTTTTACGAAATAAATATCAAAAAGGTAATTGCCGATTTGATACGGGAAACAATGCACTAAATAAAATAAAAAAAATTACATTTTCCATTTTTTTTTTTTTTATTTTTTTTTTATATGAAAGCACGTAGAGTTTTAAATCGAATTTTTGAACCGGTCGTTTGACGATCGTACGTTTAGTATTAAACTCGTAAAAAATTGTAAAACAGGGTTGTCAAATGAAAACAGATTCCACGAATATTTCAGAGTTTCACGAAGCCCTAATTTACGCGTGCCCCATTTAATTTTTCTGACGATCGAAATGTCATTTCAACCGCGTCCCATCGGTGCATTTTCCATCGATTCTCGATATCATCGGGGGCCAACGAAAGTCGTCTCGCCGTCGTCTGGCGTAATTGTCAGCCGAGATAATTGTCAAAACGACACGCACCTCGGTGTTTAATATTCTCCCCACGGACGCGAACGAGTGTACATTATACACGGTGGGCCAAAAAAAAAAAAAATCACGAAAATAAATTTGCAACCTTTTCCCAACTAAATTTCTTTCTTTACAAATTCTTAAAAAACACACTGAAAAAGATCGCGAACTTGAATTAAAATCTAACTGACAAAATTAATTAACGAAAGTTAGTTCCCTTTTTATATTTCGATATTCGATTAAAAGACACGCACATAGTGGTGGGAAGAAATCTATTTTGGCCCGCTCTGTACAAGTATCTCTCGTTATTCGCTCGCGATGAACGAAAAGGAGGAGGGCGAAAGAAACATCGAAGTGGAATAGAACGTCGAACGTTCAACGAGCGGACGTGCCTCGACGCCAGAAACGCAAATGGTTTTCTCGATTTCGTCGTGGGACAGTTTCACATTGGGATCGTTTCGTATTGTTTCGAACGTGTGTGAACGTATGTGTCGTGTCGATCACGTCACCGTGTTATTTCCGCCGCGAGTTCGTGCGCACGAGAGATTGTCTTAAGACGATATATAACGTACTTATGAATAGCGTATCTTCTCACAGGGTGCTTCCCTCAGAAGCCATATTGCTTTCTAGTTAATACCATCAATTTGGCGAGGAAGAAGTTTCTTCGATGCATTTCCTCGGTATCGTCATGGATAGGGGGAGTGATATAGGCGAGTCTAGAACGGCGACAGACCGTGGTTACAGCAGATGGTCTTTGACGACTGATAATGAGATGCATGTACGTTTGTAAGTTCGAGTGTAACAAGTATATATAACTTTGGAATCGTGATCTATAAAGGATTCGCATATTATACACATGGACTGGTCGCAACAACAGTATCTCAGCCTATTTGGTTGTTCCGAACATCTTCGTGGTGCATCTGACCCGAAAGGCTGGCCAAAACTATTATAACAATTTCATTTTAATATATTACTAATAATTTTCTATCAATTAGAATTAATAAAATTAATTTTAACAATGCATTTTCATATGTTACAGTGTTTTACATTCTGTTTTAGCATGGCGTAATTTTAAAGAGAAGTGAAATATACATATTAATTAAAATTAATAATAATATATTTTAATTCACCTATTCTTCGTAGTCACCTTTTCTGATGAAATGCCGAATATTTATATAGTTTAGGCTTCAATTCTTCAAGAGCTGAGTGCAAACGCTCAAGCGTTAAAATTAAATGGAAATAAACAAAGTATTCGAATGTTATAATTTCTCGAGTCACTTTCGAGAAGACAGACGAAAGCGAAAGGAGAAAAAGGTTGGTCGAATGACTTTACACACTCATCTTTACGTCCTACAATTACTTTTATCGCAGCTCTGAAACACTTCTTTGACGCAGACTGTTTTTTCCCAGACTCTTTCTCCCTTTCAGAGCGCGAAAATTATTGACGTTGAAGGCTTCTCTCGGCTTCTCATTGAATGAAAGATTTTTTGCAATTTACCTGCGTAAATTTACACACTTAGGAGCAAAGTTAAGTCGTTTTACTTAAAAAAAAAAGAAGAAAAAAAAAAGGAAAAATAAAAAAAAAAGACTTTTTGGCCAAGACTTTTCGGGTCACTGTGCGACGATTTCCTGGGGGAAACGCGCCATCCAGTGTAACCACAGAAATACTCCACCACGGTCCCTTTAGATTCGACACATTTTTTTCAAGACGCGCGCGATTTTCCACAGTTTCTTGCAGCCGGGCAGGACGCGGGTTGGAGAAAAAAGCCGGCGCACTTTATTTTCGTTTTCCCGATAGTGTCGAGTTTGCAGCGGGCGGCCGGCAATGCCCGCTTTAAATGCACTTCCACTCTTGTATCCGCGACTAAGCTGTGCCCATTCTGCCCACAGGATTTTTTTTCCACGTTCTACGCCGCCTATGAAGGCACACGCATACATACACACATTCAACGTTCGCCGCGTGCGTGCAAGCTGTACGGTTTCCATGTGCCTTCGTTAAGCGGATGGACTGGCTCGGCGTGCCTTTATTCACGGTCGTTCCCCCGGTGAACGGGGGAACGCGACACGATTATTTTCACGTATCAATGGCGGCGCTGATATAAAAATTTTCGCGGCCGACACGCGCTCGCGCGCGCGCGTGTGTGTATGTGTATGTGTGTGTATTTATTTTATGAAACCCGTAGCGGCGACGCTGGAAAGGCTGGCACGAGAGTGTTGCTCGAGGAGGGAGAGAACGGGGACGCGGTCGCTTGGCACCGAGGCTCTCCCGTACGTAAAAATTGAATAACGCTGCATTAATCATTTCGAGACGTTGAAGAATGGGGGGATGTTTATTGCGCGGCAGTCTATGAATGAGGCCCGATTGAAACGAGGTTCTTCTCACCTTTTCTATTATGCATACGAGATTTATAATGGATCCTACGTCGACGTGATGCTCGCCGCTTCCTAATATAAATGCTTCTGGTATAACTATGTTTAGATTGACAAAGTGTGATAGTATCCCTGTACTCCTCGCGACCTGCAAAGAAAAAATTAACAATGCCACTTGCGCACACACACACATATATATATATAAATAAATTATTAATATGTATTACTGTGATATTGCTATGATATAATACATAGGTAATTATATTTTAATGTATTCCCATGGTATATTTATAAATTTATATGTTCATGTAAAATATATAAATTAATATATATATATATATATATATATATATATAAATATTGTATATATATATATATGTAAAATATATAAATTAATATATATATATATATATAAATAATGAAATAATATATAAATAAATAAATTAAACTATTATAATTAATATGTTTACATTTAAATGTATTATTACACGTTAATATCTATCTTTTTTTCTAAATTTATATATATATAGAAAGGGTCTACTGGCCGACGTTTGTTTTCGCTACACGCATTTTCGAATTTAGGATGTCTATTTTATATTTCCTCGAGAGAATACATCTCTAACCCGATTATATCGAGCAACTTTTGCTGAGATACAACCGAGGTTGACAGAGAAACAAGGAAAATAGAAAACGCTTAAAATTTAAAACGATTCGCTTAAAACGAGAGGCCGTTTGACGCGGATATCGTCTGACTTTAAAGCATTATTCTACTTGAAGTAGTTCGCGTCGCGCATATAGCGAACGCCCGGCGAAATTTAATATTACAGATATTGATATTTTCGATTGTCGGTAAAACAGTGATGCAACGACACACTTTACGGAGTTTTAAATGGTACGAGGAATGTTACCTGCGTTTGTCCGCAACGAACACGTGACACTGTAGAAAATCTAATATAAACTTCTAGGATGCGGTCAGAAATTGAGTAAGAAAATTCTCATTGGAATCGAGGTTAGAAAATTATCGTCGAGACTGAGGTTAGAAAATTCCCGTCGAAATTGAGGTTAGAAAATTCTCATCAATTTTCAATCGCTGCTCTTTGATGTTAGTTATTAATATCAACTGATTAATATATATCTGAAATACGATCAGAGAACACGATGTAAATCTTCTTCGTAGTATAGGGTGGTCGCTGAACGACTGAATGTTACAAAACAAAAATAACTTTTACAAATACATATGTTTATTAAACTTTCTACTATTTTATTTGGAAATATAATTAATGGATTTTAAATTAAATTTAAAAATTAATATTAATATAAATATTAATATATAAATTAATATTAATATAAATTGATATAAAAGTTCTATTTGAAATGAATAAAATTATTAAATTAAATCAACGATTAATGAAATGACAAAAAAATGTAATTGGAATAAATTTTATAATTGATAAAAAAAAAAGAATCCGTTGTCATGATGATTTTTCGCAAACAAAAAATTATTCAATTATGAAATGGAAATATTCTATATTTCATTTCAACAATATCAATATAAAAAAATTTATCGAAATATTTAAATTTGACGATATTTAAATTCACGAAATGACTTTTTTCAAACCCGTCGGTTTTTCAGTGGCCACCCTGTATAACGTAATCAGATGCTTATTATTCGAACAATGAAACGAAACGCACGGTAAGACGGTGTGCGTGATTCGAGGAGAGCCAGTCTGTAGCCCTCGAGTAGAAAAATAACAAGTTCGTCTAAACATCTCATTTATCTGCTCTCGCGAATTTGCTTTTCCCGAGGTCTCATTAAAATCGATTCGTTTCAAGGGTCGCGAACACGGCGCTGCTGCCACGACGAGAGAAAATCCATAGCGTCGCTGATTTCGCCATGGAGCTCTTTCGTCGAGGTATAAATATGTACGTCCGTACGTATAGTCAAAATGTTCGCCGAATTTATTTGCAAAAATTACTCGTCCAATGAAATAAACGTGTACATACTTTGAACATTCCTACATTCTAAATTTGGGCGAATGTAATTTTTACAAGTAAATACAACGATCTTTTTGAACATACCACGTAAATTGTGTAAACCACGATGTTGCTGATAATCCAAGACAGCCGATTAACCCTTTTTTGCAATTAACATTGACTAATTACTCAACGACTGACGCTTGCCGCTATACTACCGTATATCGATTTTGGTCACCAGATGAAATTAAAAAAAAAAAAAAAAAACACTAATTTCATCCCACCCAATTTACACAGAAATGATATCTTCAGTAATTCCCAAGATATTTGAGTAATTCCCAAAACACGTTCAAATCTGAAGGCGGTTTTCACCTCTGCAACGATCGACAATTAAAAGTGAAACGTGTCAAATGTTTCTACCAAAATTTTTCATTCACTGTTATAACCTTTGGAAATAAGCGCTAGCTCTAGATCAGGATTCGAACAAGTGAAAACAATTCCCGTCGCGGTGCGGGTAATTAGAGCCGCGGTTGATTACCTGACACTCGTAGGTCCCGTTGTCTCTGTCCTGAACGTACTTGATCTGAAGAGTCCAGTCGTCCGAGCCCTCGGGATGAAGAACTTGAAACCGCTCGTCGTTCGTGTACGTGAACGTGGAGCTGGTCAGGACGTGGAAGTCACGCCGTCGTATCCAGGATATCTGTGGGACAGGCGCGCGAATCGTTGATCAATCTTCTCTCGCCACCGCTACCGGATTGGCGAAGTGTCGCGCGCTGGAAAGACGACGGGGCACTCACCTCGGCGTCGGATACCGTTCTGTCTGCCAAATTGCGAACCTTGCAATGCAGGAACGCGGTCCCGCCCAGCTGCACCGTGACGTTCGAGACGGTGTTGTTGTCGTTCGCATCGTTCACTCTCTGCAGATCGTCCAGATTGCTGAACCACAACGCCTTCCAGTCTGCCGGTATGCTGTAGGGGACGCGTCGATCTGCAACGTTTCACAAAAAATTCCAACTCTTGGATTTGCCGACTGTTTCCTCTGTCACTTCTCTTACTCTTCTGGACTACTCGCCAGAAGAACAGTTTCTCGGCGAACGAGTTTATTGTACCGTTGCGAACGAGAGAAAAAGGGACCGAGGCACTGTATCCTTTGTCACTGACGAAGAGAATCAGCGCGAGGAGAGGGTTGAGAGTTTGGCGAGAGTAGCGTTGTTTTTGAAAAAAAAAAAAAAAAAAAAAAGACGAACGAGTGAAGCTTCAGAGAGGAAAGGAATAGGTGGATTATCGTCTATAATTGAACACCTCTTGCACAGCTTTCGTGATTGCAAAACGTAACTTCCGACTGTGACAATGACAGCGAACAGTTGATTAATTTACGTTTGCTAATGTAAGAAAAAAAAAAAAAAAAAGAAAAATGGCGGAAAAGAAGAACGGCCGAGGAAGAAGTTTAACGTTGCGACACGTCGAGATATAGACAGGCGGCGGAGGCAAACTCGAAAGTAACTGGGCTGCTTTGGTAAAGGGGGATGACGGAGAATAAGGAAAATCGGTGAGCCACGGAGAACGGAGTTGGCGTTGGTGGAATATAGAAATCCGTAAATGGAAAGGAAGAAAATTGTGAAACAGAGAGGCGAGCGAAAGCCAAGTGACAGAAAGAGAGAGAGAGAGAATGAGAGAGAGAGAATGAGAGAGTGAGGAAGGATGGAAGGGGGAGGTGATGGAAGGGTCTAGGCAAAAGACAAGCACTTGAGACTGAACTTTGCGAGCTTTTGAATGCAGGGCATAAGCTACCTGCCTTTTGTCTCCGCGAGACAATGCGAAACCTTATACAGCGAGACAAGAAGTCGAGTCTACGAAGGGAAAGGTGTGCTCCTACTTTGCTTCGACCAGTTAGTTGGGCAGGATTGTACTCTTTTCTTTCCTCTTTAAGTATTCCCAATTCATAGCCACTTTTGAGCGAGAAGCAAGTGCACACCAGAGGGGATTTCTTCGCTCGGTAGTTTTTCCTATATTTTCTCGCATCCCTCCCCCCTTGTCCCCCTCCCTCTTTCTGTTATTTTCATTTTCTTTCCCTCCCCCTGCTTTCCCCGGGGAAGATCCGCCGTCTCTTCTTGCCACGCAGAGACATTTATTTATTGCGCACCAGGGACACGAGCTTTATCTAATGCATACTTAATAGCATTAAAAGTCCGCCCGACGTACTTGACTTCTTGCGCCAGCAGATTTTGAATACGCACTTGGCGCAGACACACCAGGGGTTACGCGGAGTGTCTCGGAAATCGGGAAGGAACACTCGGTTCTAGGATCCGACGGCAAGCATAACTTCGCACAGCAACGAAATTTCGATAAATGCTTTATCCGACAGTCGGAGAATTACACGAGTTAATACGTTTTCCACCTAGTCGCGTTATGGTTACTCTTAGCGCTGCTTGCCCTCTTTTCTCCTGTAAAATACATCTTCTGTCGTTCGGGATGAATATTTTCCTTTGAATATATATATATATATAAATAGTTTTATATATATATATTATAGTATAACTATATATAGCTATATAGTTTAACTATATATATATATATATTATAGTATAACTATATAGTTATATTATAATATATAGTATAACTATATATATATAGTAGTATATATAGTTATACTACTATATACTACTATATAGTATAACTACATATATATATATTTTATATATATTTTATATATATTTATATATATTTTATATTTTATATATATAGTATAGTTTTATATATACAATATAGTTTTATATATATATATATATATATATATATATAACGAAAACGTATATAACGTATTATACGTTATAATATTTCCTGACGAGGTAAATCGTGTAACACGTCAAAGACATCGTCAAACTAAGCTAGAGGTGGCTAACTGGCGGCCCTTGCCCCCACTTTCCTAATCGCTAGCGCTATCCCCTCCACTGCATCGATCTCTCCACTGCGTTGAGAGCATTGCGTTGATGTTGTGGCCACAATACTCGTGTTAGATATATATTGAGTAGCTTGAGGAATACTTCTCCTACTTCCATAGGCATGAGTCCTTCCTCCATGCCTCATTTTGTATTTCGTCGCATTCAGGTGCTTTCTCTCTCTTTAATTTGAGCAGCTGTTTTATTACTTCTTCCTTTGTGATTTTCTCGCTTCCCGTTTCTTTCTCCTCTTCATTGCGCTCCTGTTTTATCTTGCTTTCCTGCTTGTCCTTGTGTCCTTCCAGTAGTTCCAGTTTTTCATTTCGATACTTTTGTCTATTGTTTCCCTTTGTTTCCTTCCTCCATATCTGTTTATGTATTTTCACGCTTCACTTCCGCCTTGATCATCCTTATCTTTTCTTCCTCCCTCCTTTCGTATTTCTCCCTTTCTTTTTCGCACCACTCTTTGTACTTCTTTCTTTTGCCCCAGAACTCTTCTCTGCGTATCTTGCCTTTTTTTAGTTTTATTAATTCTCTCTTCCTCTCCGTCCACTCTTTACTGTGCCATCCTCCAAACTTTTACTTCCTTTTCCTTACCTCTTCGTTGATTTTCTTCTTTAATGCCTCCCATATACTTTCCACGTCCTCCTCCTCTACCTTCCATTCTCTGCATCGGTTGTGATAGCTCTCTATCCCTTCCAATCAGCTGTTCTTATCACCCTGCTCTTCTCCTTTCTTCCTTTCTTGTCTTCCTCTTCTACGCGTTTTTCTCCACTTCCAGTGGGAAGTGATCTGTCCTCTCTCCTTCTCTTACATCTGCAATCTCCTCAAATGATTCTGCGTTTGCAATCACCAGGTCGACCACTGATGCCCCTCTTTCTCCTATACATGTCCACTCTCTCTCTCTCTCTCGCCCAAAACATCCATTCACTATGAACCAACCCCTGCCTCTCAGCCCCTCTATTAGTATCCTTCCCTTCCTGTTCACGTTCTTGTCCTTCGATCTTCTCTCTTCCTTCTCTTCTGTCATCATTTCTTTGAATGGGCCTCCCTCCTCCCCTTGCACCAAAGTCTCCTCCGCAGTATCAGGAGTCCTTCTCTTTCTTCTATCCCTTCTGTGATTGTCTGCATTATTTCCTTCGTGTTCTGACTGTTACTATTCGTGTGTTAGATATATATATATATATATGTATGTACATACACATATACAGGGTGAGTCAGCACATATTGCCATCATTATTATTGCGCGTAGAGTAAGAATGTTTCAGATGAAGCTGAATTGCTTCGAGAGGGGCACATTCTGATGATACTAGTTTTCTCTGTAGGTGGACGTGTAGAGGACATATGAAGGTCATTAACGTTTTTTTTAAATATATTTTTTGTGGCATTAGTTGACGCACCTTGGTATTCTTTACAAAAAAGTATTAATGTTAAATTTATGTTTAAAAAAAATTAGCTTAGGGGATATTTTAATTTTAATTTTGCAAAATCTGCGCGTGAAGGACAAAGACAGTATGAATATAAGAATATTTTCTTCCGTGTCTTTCATACTATCTCCGTGTCTATCTCCTAAACTAATGTATATATAATATACTATAATATTAATATATAATATACTATAATAATAATTTTTTAACATAAATTAATACTATTTTATATAGAGTATCAAGGTAATTTTAATTTTGCAAAATCTGTGCACGAAGGACAAAGACAGTACGAATATAAGAATATTTCTTCCGTGTCTTTCATACGATCTCCGTGTCTATCTCCTAAACTAATGTATATATAATATACTATAATATAAATATATAATATACTATAATAATAATTTTTTAACATAAATTAATACTACTTTGTATAGAGTATCGAGGTAATTTTAATTTTGCAAAATCTGTGCGTGAAGGACAAAGACAGTATGAACATAAGAATATTTCTTCCGTGTCTTTCATACTATTTCCGTGTCTATCTCCTAAACTAATGTATATATAATATACTATAATATTAATACATAATATACTATAACAATAATTTTTTAACATAAATTAATACTATTTTGTATAGAGTATCAAGGTAATTTTAATTTTGTAAAATCTGTGCGTGAAGGACAAAGACAGTACGAATATAAGAATATTTCCTCCGTGTCTTTCATACTATCTCCGTGTCTATCTCCTAAACTAATGTATATATAATATACTATAATATTAATATATAATATACTATAACAATAATTTTTTAACATAAATTAATACTATTTTGTATAGAGTATCAAGGTAATTTTAATTTTGTAAAATCTGTGCGTGAAGGACAAAGACAGTACGAATATAAGAATATTTCCTCCGTGTCTTTCATACTATCTCCGTGTCTATCTCCTAAACTAATGTATATATAATATACTATAATATTAATATATAATATACTATAACAATAATTTTTTAACATAAATTAATACTATTTTGTATAGAGTATCAAGGTAATTTTAATTTTGCAAAATCTGTGCACGAAGGACAAAGACAGTATGAACATAAGAATATTTCTTCCGTGTCTTTCATACTATCTCCGTGTCTATCTCCTAAACTAATGTATATATAATATACTATAATATAAATATATAATTTACTATAATAATAATTTTTTAACATAAATAGGTTAATACTATTTTGTATAGAGTATCGAGGTGCATCGATATTTCATTCACCGTTTGAATCTTGAAACTTGCGACTGATTGTCCCGACAAATTGTACCGCTTCAAGAAACAACGACGAGTGAGCAGATAGCGCGAATAGCGACTAACGATCACGCTGCCGATCCAAGTGGATTTCACGTTTGAATTCGACTGATCCGAACGATGTTCCTCCGCATTTCTGCTCCCTTGTCCCAAACACGTCCGAGACACAGATGGCAACACTCCTCCACAACTTTATAGATCACGCCCCGCGCCCGATATCAATCGATCATTAATTAAATCGTCCGGCTGGGTCGTACACCTACCCCGTCCGAGGCTCGAAGCATTCGCTGAAATTAAACTAGGAAAGGCGGAATTGCATCCGGAGCGAAACGGATGCCGAGAAGTACAAAAGATCTTATATCCAAGGCTAGGGAATACTAGGGAGGGGTTAAACGCCCCGAGAAAATTATTTACCTTTATCGAGCGACCTGGCCAGAAGAATTGTCGGCAGGATCAGAAAGACCATGTACCACGATAGCCGGTCCCGCATCCTTGCGAGGTTTCCAGTCCTCCTGCAAGAAGAAGAAGAGGGACGAGAATGATAAAAAAGAAGAAAGAAAAGATTGGAGAGAGAGAGAGAGAGAGAGAGAGAGTTGGTTGTTATAAAGCACGAATTCGTATGCGAACAGGACCGAGTCTTCAATTGCCTCTTTGTTTTTCTGATTTTGCACGTTGCGCACCTGCATCGTCTTTTAAAGGAAAAGCATTCAACCCCCCCCCCCCCCCCCCCCCCCCCAGCCGCCTTTTTACGCTCTGTTTTCACGTGTTTCGCATGCATTCGAAACGCGAGCGAAACTTATGTCTGATTTGCAACAAATTGCCCCTCGTCTCGCACGATATTCCCGAAGAGGGTTGGAAGTAAAAGCGGGGCGCCGGCTCGCCGGCTTTTTCAACGATTTGCATATTAAAAGGCCCGCGGATCCTTTTGATACGGCGAATTTTAATTCTCCTCCTCGGCATCGTCTCTTACTCTCTCTCTCTCTCGTCTTTCTTTTCCTGCCGTCTCCATCACGTATTTTTTTTTTTTTTTTTTTTTAGAAATTTACGTTAGAGTAAAATCAGGCGAGAAAGAGAGAGAGAGAAAGAGAGAAGGGAAAAATGCAATTTCAAAGGCGATCAAAGAATATTCTTTTTAGATTTTAATCCAGTAGTCCGAGGCAGCGAGAGGGGCCCGTCTCGCGTTGTTGCCGCGTGTATTGAATATTTTATTCCAGCGACACAAAGGTGAAAGAAGAATTCCTTAATTATTTTCCCGCGTAATTTTCGCCTTTTATTAAAATCGTCAAACGCCGGGAATAATTTAGACGATGGAGGATCGATGTTCCGGCTTGTTAGCGAGACCGTTGTTCACGGTCGTGCTGTGTTACTCTCGGTCGGTTTTTCTTTAGTTTCTGTAGAATTTGACAAGCTCGTCGGATCTCATCTTTTTCTCGAAGTCAAGTCGAACCATGAGTGATGTCAAAGAGATAGCAAGCCTTTAAATGAGTCATTCCCACGTACGCTTGATTTCATTCCTCGATTTTTATTCGTCGTCGCGCGTAATAATTTATTACGATCTTTCGATCGTGCCTCTGTGCATCGTAAAATCTTTTAATTCCTCTCTCGGTGTAATTCGTGGAACGCATTAATTCATTGATTAACCCTTTGACTACGAGAGGCGTGTGTATATATATATATATATATGCGTCTGTCACACAAAAGGTCCATCAATGTACAGGGTGTCTCAGCCAAAGGAGGCCACCTAAATACCTCTTTTGCTGTTTTTACTGTTATGAAAAAGCTTTGTAACATGACTCAAATGGTCATTTGACTGACTGTGGGTTCTTTTGCAAATGTTGCAATACTGTAAGTATAGTATGATATAGTCAGTATAGTATAGTGTAATATTAGCAAGTATTGGTTAGCAGTGAGTCTAATATTGTAATACTGGCTGTAAGTATAGTACAGTACAGTGTAGTATTATAATAGTATAGTAGTATAGTAGTAATGATATAATAGTATAATAGTATAGTATTAAAATAATATTATGTAGGATTATAATATTATAGTACAGTACAGTGTAGTATAATAGTATAATAGTATAGTATTAAAATAATATTATGTAGTATTATAATATTATAGTACAGTACAGTGTAGTATAATAGTAGTATAGTAGTATAATAGTATAGTATTAAAATAATATTATGTAGTATTATAATAGTACAGTACAGTGTAATATAATAGTATTATAATACTCGCTGCAATACTGTACTGATTATAGTATACTATGCTTATAGCCAGTATTGCAACATTTGACTGACTGTGGATTCTTTTGCGAATGTTGCAATACTGGCTGCAAACAGTATAGTATAGTACAGTATAATACAGTATAGTATAGTACAGCGTAGTGTACTATTGCTGCAATACTATAGTATACTGACTATTATAGTACACTGACTAACTATAGTATTACACTATACTTGCAACATTTTTACATCAATAAATTCCAAAAATGAAGAATCTTGTCTTTTTCGAACAAAAGTTCTGTAAAATTATATGAAATAATTATTTCATTACATCTTTACGATAATCTAACAACGGTTGCGCTTGTGCGACTAAAAGCTTAAATATGAAATTCCGTATCTCGGTAACCCGTAAGTCGACTTAATAAACCGTTACCAACAATGTTATTGGTTACTAAAGAAGACATTATACAGGGTGATTCACGTAACTTGCACACCTGGAGTAACTTTTAAATTATTTGCGTCTAATAAAAAATTGTTCCATAAAAAGGTCGCGTGGCTTTAACGGAGAGTAGAATATGGCGTATCAATTTTTTTCTGTGTACTGAGGGATTTCGAGATTTCCAAGTAAAAAGAAGTATCAAGCCACATTGGTCCAAAACCTAATAGGTTAAGGAAATATTTTACTAAAACATGCACAAAATGTACACGCAACACATTGTGGAGAAAAAATTAAATTATTTAATAAAATATCGACTTTGAAAGTTACAGCTAGTCTGGTAGAAGGTTAAGATGCACAAGATCGGGAGCTTCGTCGATTATGTACACGTCGATTATTTGCCCTCGGACGTGTCGATGAAACGTGGTTCGCGTGGCGGTGGTAAACGCCGTGCACTCTTATTTCTCGCGGCTGATCGCCGTCAGTCGCGTTAATTGGCCCGTTAAAGTTACTCTTTCCCTCGTCCGGGCCGCTTTTACGGCTAATAAAACGGGACGAATGCAAATAGTTTGTAATAAATCGGGCAAACGCGGCGCTTTTATCGCGAAAGCCATCGTTCGCGTTAATGTTTAACCCGCGCCTTTGCCTTTCGTCTCTCTCCCCCTCCCCCCTCTCCCCCCCCCCTCTCCCACCTCTCCGCGATCAGGATTACACCGTAAAAATCTATTGTTCGAATTTTTACGCGGTGCCGTCGTAATTTCGCGCGATACGCGTGGGAATGCAAAGCTTAAACCATGGCGGAGAACGTACGAACGTGGATGCGATGGAAAAGAGAAAAAAAAAAAAGAAGAAAAAAGAAAAGGCGAAACCGGGAGTGGAAATAAAGGTGAAAAGGTTTTAAAAGCGGCGAAATTGTTCGACGTTCGTTTTTATTTGCGCGTGCAAACACGCGGTTCAACGACGAAATGTTTAACACGCGGACATCCGCCGTATATTGATTCCCCCGCGGTTGAGAACAGGAAAAGTTGTCATCTCGCAAAAAAAAAGAAAAAAAAAAAAAAATGGAAATGGTGGAGGGAGGAGTGGTTGGATTTAGGAAATTAGTTGCCGTCGTTTTTTCGGCAAATATTGGTCGAAAGGAAACGCTGTTGCCGCGACACCGATAACGGTGCTCTGATTTACCGCCGGGCGATGGTGAAATTGTTATTCAAGGGGGACGCGGGCGAAAAATAAAGAAAAATAAAGCGGCGAGTAGCCGTTTACAGATAAACTGAATTTGCATTTATCCGGCAGTCCGCCGTCGTTTTGTTTAACGCGGTTATCTAACAATTTCCGCGCACGCCACCGTCGGCGATTTATTATCGCGCGTACTCGCGCCCCCGTAATTACACGTGAAAAGCGCAATCGGCTATGGTTCCGCGAGAAACGCCACGATCGTGGAGAAATAGAATTGATATCCGATGTCACGGTCGTGTTTCAGAAAAAGGATTTCAAAAATCACGGGTCTGTCGCGTTGCTAGTTTATTCGCTAGTTCCCCAACTCGCCGTTGTTTAACGTAGAGTGCGCTGTGGTACACGTGTATGGTATTTCAGGTCACAGGCCACGAAAAAAAAACTGTAAAATGCAAATGTCTATTCACATATGTACCTCGTCTTGTAACGAAAGGGGTTAAAATGGCCAAATCTCCAATTATCGTTAGGTCGTAACGATTCGAGAAATTCCGCATTTTCCCGGGATGGAGTGCAGCCGAAAATTTCGGTGGTGCCGCGACGGTTTCCGAGGATTTCGAGAGGATTGCCAGTTGAAAGCGGATAGAGGAGCAAGTAACGTGGGAGAGATGGGAGTATTAAGTAGCGACCGTTAAAAAGCGGAAAGTCGATAGGATATAAACGCGTTCCTCCGCTTCGCAATTCGGGCGAGGGCACGGCTGTGCTGCAGTGTGTCTACGGTTGGGAAAGGGATACTCTCCCGAGCAGGATCCTCTCTTCTCCGAGAGTTGCCAATCGTTATCCGAGATTTATTGTTTCCCGACGATGGCTGGGTCACGGAATCGGGTTCATTCTCCCCGCCTCGCCCTCCTGCGAACCGGGGGAGGGTTCCCATTCAGGGCGGGCGCTGCTTTGCATAAATTTCCGTGCAGATGCGACGCGATATCAGATCGACGCGACGTCGCGATAGAAATAGAATATTATATGCACGCGTAGGCACAGGCACGGGGATATACAGGGTGTCCCGTGTGAAGCTAACCACGCAATTCTGCATCATTAGCGTACATATAAGCACAATTTTCTTAGCTAGTATTATCAAAGTGTACACATATATACGGTCAATATTCATGATCGTTATCACCAGAACATTTCTCGATCATTATTATTATCAAAGAGCGTTGCATTCTTATTATCCTGTGAGTTACAAAATGGCCATTATTGCCATCAAGGCATCTACTTCGGACAACATTTTCCAATGGTGATTGAAACAGAGAAAAGCTTCGTCGAGAAAAGCTGAAAAGCGTTGTGCCGTTCGTTTATCTCGAAAGAAAAGAGGAGAAAACAATTTATCAGTGTAGCAACTGCAAAGTAGCTTTACGTATTGAACACTTTGTATACCATCATACTGAACGAAACAATCGATCTGCATTATTCTGTCAGCGGAACAATTACCTGTCGTTATTCCAATAATAACACACGTACATACGTAACGATATCTTTCTGAGATTTCTTCTTTCTCAATTTTTGTTATAGTTTTTTTTTATTAGAGAACACCGAACCTTTATGTATCCTTTATGTATCATTTTTGAAAATTTTCTGCTTAAATGTGATAAAAGAAAAATTATTGACAAAGCAATTCTTC